TCAGTTTTAATCTCCGCATTGCAGAGAGAGAGAGAGAGAGAGAGGCAATGAGGGTAAATGGGGAAAGGTGTAGAGGGAAAGGGGTAGTGAGGGGGATCAATTTCTCGATTTCTATTTATATAAATTGAAATCAAATCTAACGTTTCAATTTACGAATTTCTCGTGTTATGCGAAGAATGCGTTTTTTTTTCATTCGGGGAGGAGCGAGGAATCCTTCTCCTCTTTGGTCTCAGAATCACTATTATTAGTTATTATAAATATTATACTCTTCGATGTAACGAGAAAAATAATGTATTCAAGATACATAATTCAGAAAAATTACAAAAATATTCCATTAATAATACTTTAAATATTAGCCGTAAATAAATTCCTTTCCTTTTTTTTCTACGATCATTCAACTTCTAACCGAATTCGAATTACTTCCTGTTCGTGGTGCCATCCGAAAGAGCGTTCTTTTTAATCAAATCTAACTGAATCTAAATCTCTTTCAATTTACGAATTGCTCGTGTTACGCGAAGAATGCATTTTCTTTCATTGGACGAAGCGAGGAATCCTTCTTCTGTGATTGCTCTCGGAATCTCGAAATGAGCGTCTGCAAAATTTTGAGAATCTTCTTGAAAAATAATTATATGTGTACGATATTATTAGTTATTATAAATATTATACTCTTCGATGTTACGAGAAAAATAACGCAGTATCGGTATTCAAGACACGTATTAATTCAAAAAAATATTCCTTTAATATTACTTTAAATATTAGGCGTGCAAATAAGTTCCTTCCCCTATTTTTCTACGATTATTCTGAATTCGAATTACTTTACCGTTTCTGGTGCCATCCGAAAGAGCGTTCTTTCGTTTTTAAGATGAGCTCTGAGAGTTTTCAATCCCGTGCAATTTCAAGTAATATAGCGCGCGAGAAGCATTTGTATTCCAGCTTAAGAAATCAGTTGTTGAAGCTGCTGAAATGGTTTGCGCGCCACTGGGAGAGAACGCTGTATCTTACGGAACGTGCAAAAAGTCGTGCCAAAGATTTAAAGCCGGAAATTTTAATTCGGAAGACGACGATCGTTCGAGCGCACCGAGAAAATTCGATGACGGTGAGTCAGAAAGAAATCGCTCGACATAAGAAAAATTGACAGAAAGAAAGTCACCAATAGACAAGTATCTATCCAACTGAAACAATTGAATAATCTTGTCCCTGATTTACGTAATAAAATTTGGGGGAAAAAAAAAGCAAAGAACTTACTACCTAATGTAATACATTCAACTTTCCCCACGAGTTGGAATATTCAAGGTTACACCCTTCTCAAATATTTAAGCTTGACATTAATCCCAATCTAACCTCGAACCCATTTCGAATCTGCTTGATCCCATTACTAGGAAACCGGGATTTATTCCGACACCGCGTGGGAAACAATTAAAGATTCCTGGTCATTACCAGGCAAGCTGGTAAGAGGAAATCGAGAGGGTTCATCCAGGTGGTGGTGGGAAGGGTGGTGATCCTCTTCCAATTAACGTCACGTTCTCCGTCGGGATCGTTATCCTTATCGTCGGCCACTTTCCTCGAGGCCAGCGTGGAAACGATCCACAACGTTTCCACGAAAAGAAAAGTTGAACCGCCTGCTGCTACTTCTTATTCCACTTCCGCTTTGTTTTAGGACAGCCCAGGGAATCGTAAGCGGCGCGACTGCGGATGCTCCCGGATGCGGCTCCCTTCCGCGCTCTTTCTTCCGGTAAATCCGCCTCCCCTTTACAATCTGCGGCGAGGGGAAGGGGGGAAGAAAGGAGGGGGATAGGAAAGTTCTTTCGAGGGAGCAGGAACCCCGGCGGTGGCAAAATGACACCGGCCATCGCCGATCACGGCTATTCAAGAGTGTAAAAAGAACGATAAAAAGGAGGCGGTGTGGATGTCTCGCGCGTCCGATGGGAATTTGAACTGCATACTTTCCAAGAGCTTTTTCTTTTCTTCCTTTTTTTTTTTTTTTTTTTTTTTTAATATAGGAAAGAGATAAAATGAACGAAACGACGTGTAAAGAGATTTAGAGGGAGAGATAAAGGTAGGTATAGATAGGTATTAGTAGTTTATAGAAAAGTATTTCAAACAAAGTTTAGGTAACTGTAATATGTTAGAGAATATGTTAGAGCTTTATGATTATGATCTTCAGAACGGATTATAGAATATCGTTGATTGTAGAATATAGATGTTATCGTGGAATTTTTGAAAAGTTGAAGCAAACAAGAATTTAAAGTAGAAAGTTAACGATAATGTTATGTATATTAATATTAATCAGACGTGATGTAAAATATCTCGTATTTTGAATGTTTTTTAAGAGTAAGATTTTTATTGAATAATTGAAAGTTCGTTAAAGGATGGAAGAGAGGAATTTCCCGTGAAATTTGGAAAACGTGTTTTAGCATCGTCAAGGCAATGTCAATTTTCACCCTTAACGTCCCCAAGTTCGATCGAAAAGAAGCGGGAACATCGGATGTAAGTAGCGACGATTGGCTGTCGAGCAACAACTTCCGGCGAGAGCAATGTCTAATTTTTCAAGCTTTTCTCGTGCACGCAGCAATTTCCGGGCCACCTCGATACGAGCTATATTTGTCAATTGGTCCATTTCGAACGAGAAATTTAGTTAGTTTTTCCGCAGGCAGGAAATAAAAAGGCGATTTCCTCGATTGCATTGCTATTATTTCAAGAATTGGGACGGTTTTTTATATTGTCTCTTTTTTCTGTGGAATGTAAAAAATATTTGTGATTCACCAATTCAATTGTCTTATCATATAAAATAATTATCTGTATATCTCATCGAGGGTAGAGATACAATCGACTCGAGATTAATAAGAAATTAATTAAACAAAAAATATTAGAAGAACAATTAAATTTAATTTATATAACGTGCAACAAATAACTTATCTTATTGATTAATATGTAACGTCAAATATTTATTGCATAATTATGTTATTATTACGTACTCGTTTAAATCAATCCTTTCAATTAAGAATTAATTGTTCAACATTTTCTCTAGTCGAGTATGAAATATTCTTAAAGAAAAACGACTTTCTGTAACAGGAGTCTAGAATGCTGATAGAGGAACTAAATAGAGACGCGAGGAGAAGATTCAAGATTCACTATATCTATACTTATACACTTCCATTACTTTTGTCTCTACATTAATAAGAAGATAGAACAATATCGAACAGAGTTTATTTTTTAATATAACATCTTAGCACTTCGTATGATATTAATAGGGATACAGAAGGAAAATAGAAGTGTTAGACAAGAGGAGCAATGAAAGGGTATAATTTTATTATTAATTTATCATAACATATTGATGCTTTCGATCCAATGTTACTAGGATTGTAGAACGACAGAAGAGCAAACAGTTTTCCGACGTCACCGATACTCTTCCTTCCAAGCGATGTATCTTCCAAGTAACAGAACAGCAGAATGTGGCAAGAAAAATATCGATCTCAACAAATTGGACAAGTTAAACAACAGGAAAGAAAAATACATCGTTGAATTTATTTTCATATAGAAATCAAATATTAATCTTTTCGAAAATGTCGTAAAAAAAGTTCAAAAAGGAATTAACAATTCCGTAAAATCCATTTTATTCGTTCCTCCCCTTTCTCGTAGAAGTTCTTCTTCCTTAATACATTATCGTTCAAGAAAGTTATATATCAGCCAACATCGATCCAGAAACGACTTTCAACCTCCGGTTGAACGATCCTGGTGCAATTTCATTTTATCTATCAGATCAATATCTTGCTAAAAGTATTCCTAGATCCCTTCTTAGGAGCTCCATGTAGAGATCTGCCACGTGAGCAGGATCCTACGTAACCGGAAGCTCTGTTTCGCGAGGGTAAGATGAAATACACGTGAAAGTTGCAGCTTACCAAGATTCGATCGTTAATTCGAGTGATCAGTGTCCGAAATCGATAACCGAAACTTCATCCCCAAGTTCCAAGTAATTTAATTTTCAGACAGTTCCGCGATCGAAAACCTGGCACCACACATCTTCGACTCGCTTACACGCCCGTAAGTTTCCCCGACGTAATGTCTACGCCCATACATAAACTGGGAAGCAGACTGCAACTTCTGCTTTCTTGGCTGGTCTTGCTTTTGATAGCACCCATCGGCTTCCTGGTTTATTTGCAACTGACGGAGGTGGGAAACTTGGTTCCGTTTATGGAGCAGCCATCCTGAAACTGGAATACTACTGATTAATATCCACGAATTTATGAAGCATTAACGATGTAGAAGAAAAAAAAATATAGAAGGAACGTGGTCGATAATAATTATGTAATTCTCGCTTAAAGTTCAAAACTTCGTTTTATTTAAAAACGAATTAAATTATAGATCGATCCTTAGCAACGATAAAATTTTGGATTAAAAAGTTTCTGGCAATTCCATATGGTGGAAATTTGGCACCTTAAAATTAGAGAGAGAAATTTCGAGAGTATTGCGAATGAAGGAATAAAAGGGGAGAAAGAGAGATTTCAGAGAGGCTGATGGAAGGAGACATTTATGTCTGCTGATCGGAGAACAAGCACGGTTCGATAAATAGCGTCCTTTTGGTAGTCCTGCGCGCTTTGAACAGGTTCCATTGCTTTGTCCATCCGCCATCAAATGAACTCGAGAGTCTACGTAATAATTAGGTATAGACAAGGCCTAAATGGCAGTCTCAAAGTGGTCGTTATCGACATCAACGGCACGTTGTCGACACAGGCACCGCTGCTACAGATACCTAATCATTCGAACGATCGATGAAAATTTCAAAGGGAAGCTTGAATAAATGTATTTCTTTCTATTCGGCAAAACGAAGAGATCATAATTCTTTTGTTTAATACATACTGTGTGGAATCGAATAGGATTAAAAGGATAGATAAATTATTCGATAGGAATAATTAAGAAATTGAAAATATATCTATGGGAGAGATGTGATTCTTAAGGATATATTTTTATGAATGTATAGATACGCACAGGTACAGTTGGAGTTAAAATTCGAAGACAAAAAATTTATTTAATATATTTATAACGTATACATACAATTGGAAATTGATTGGAAAAAGTATCACGTATGAATACAAATTAATGTGTTGGTGTATATAATGTATCATATTTAACACTGATTTTATTTTTGTAACGTATATTACTATATGTACATACAGCTTTTGATATGGAATATTTTGATTTAACGGGTTTAATTGGGATTCCAATTATGCGAAACTGTGAACAAGATCGAAAAATGGATTATAAATAAATTCGAGTAATCTGGTATATCATTGCACAGATTTATCGTGTTTTTTAAATCGGTTCAGTGGTTAGTTGTTAAAAAAAAAAAAAAAAAAAAAAAAAAAAAAGGAAAATTCGAAGCAATAAAATCAAAACGATATACACGTGCGATAAAATAAAATAAAATAATACAACCATGAAAAATCGTTTATCCAGGGGAAGAAAACTCGATGTACCATTTACGTTTGTTTTTACAACTTGTGCATTTTTATTGATTCCGATAAGTTTATCCCGAACAAGTACGTAGAAATGTATAATATCTCATTGGAAACGTTCTCTCGATGAGGAGTCGAAAGTTCGTTCAATCGTGAAATAATTGCGCGGATCCTCGTAAAAGCGCGGCGTGTACGAACTTGCGCTCATAAAAATGCATTTCGCTCGATGGACGAGCTTAAAAACCATCCGCACCCGTAAACAATAACAGCGTTGTGTATAAATAGTCAGCTAATGATCTGGCCAACTCGGTCAGAAACTTCGATCGAACTTCCATGAAGGAAGTTTCCACGGGAAAGTTTTCAAAGTGAAAGGTTGCGCGCATTTTCTTCCTATTATTGATGAAACGAAGTTTCACCGGCTGATACTCGAAATAATTTTCTAACCGATCTCCCTTCTCGATCTGTTGCATTTGATATCAAGTCCCGAAAGGAGTACTACTGCGGAGAACACCTGTCGGTGATCCCTTCATGGAGGTAAAATTTTTTTTTCTTTCTCTCTCTTTTTTTTTTTTTCCTGTTTCCAACTTCGCCGCAAAGAAGTTTCTCATACCTTTCAACTGGTAAGATAAAGTTCGAAGAACGACCTATATTACAGGTCTCAGAGCGTCACCTTTGATTGATTGTATCGGAAATCTGCTTGAGAGAACTTCGTGTTCTCCTAGAGTTTAAACTGTTGTCGAGTTTTTGGCGAGGCAGTTGCTTTTAGCTTCGGCTTATCCATAAATGCGCTACTTTATGGTCTTACCAGTTGAGGATTTGCAGATAAACGGAGAGAAACTTCGTTTAAGCAGAATTACAGATGGCTTATTTACCCTGCGAGAATATTCTTGGAAATTTCCATTCTATTTTCTCAAGAGAGAATTTTTATGAAATAGATAGATAAGCATAAGTATACACGATAGAGCACGCTCTTTGCGTTGCCTGATTTAGATTTGAATTGTTCAACAGATAAAAACGAGTCGAACAATTTTACAATAAACAATGTCGAAAACACACAATCGCAAACTCCAATATCATTATGCAATTTTACATTTTCATCGGCTTAATAGTATTTAGTCAGAATTTGAACACATCAAGATCCACACGAATTCATTCGAAATTCAATAAATACGTCAAAATTCGAGATTCAAGATTCTCTTCGTACGCGAGAAAAAGTTAGATCAAAAATTTATTAGAGTAATTCATCATCGTGCATTTTCATTTTCCGTTGCTATCAAGATTCGTAGCAAACTGAAAATAAATAACAGAATTTTTTCGAAACAGAGATATGTAATTCGTGCTATCTTCTTTTATTATATCGATGTGATACAACATATAGGATAGAGCAACAATTTACAATATCTCTATTTTAAACAATCCGTTATATTAAGAGAAATATTACAAATACATCTTTTCCCAAAAACGCATTTTTAAAGTTTCAAAAGATCAATTTTCTTTTAATATTCCTATAATATTTTAATCTTGCATCATTTCTTTTATGATGATTCATATAATTCAAAAAAATCAGAAAATCATCATCCCACTTTATATTTTTATATAAATATTCAATAAATATTTATATATTTAAACACTTCTTGATCAATCGTAATTCATAGTCATAAAAATTGAAAGAAACAACATATAATTTTCTCGATTTGCATAGATAATGATTAACATTTTTTAATATTTTCTCTTAATAGCTAAGAACAAACATTTAATCTTCGTAAAATACATTTTGTTTAAAAACTTGATAAGATCAGAGACATTCATCAGCATTCCACGATAGTACAAACAGTATATCAGATAACACTTTGATTGTATTTTCAGCATAATTTCTTAACGACTAGATGTACAACTTTGGTATGGGCACAATAACAGCATCAAAAATACATATACATATATATATATATAGATCGAAAATTGATCGTTTCACCTTACATAAATCGCAACATTATCATATCACAATTTTTGGCGAATAAACAGAGAAAACAAACAGGATATATTGAACACGTTGTGCGTACGAGAGTAACAGATAGATCACGTTATCGGGAAGAAGATACGTTCAACGATTTGCAACGAGACATAATTTTGTACTAGTGGAAGCTATTAATGGAAGACAACAGTGTGCGCGTGAATGCAGGAAACAACATGTATAAAGGTATACAATTTTAAATCATTATTAGTGCTTTGAAATTTTGTACATCTTCGATATTTTCATATACATGCATATGCATATGCAAATAATATATTTCGAAATATTTAAAGATAAGATATATTCAAGTACAAGTCAGTCAGTCCACAATGTTAGTTAAATAAAAAGTATAAATTTTACGAAGCAAATTATTCAGTTACGCTATGCGTAAGAACAGTGTCAGCAGTAGCAGGAAGTACTTGGAGGCGGTGTGTCACGCTCGTTGCATCGTAACACTTTCTGGTGAGGTAGCAGTGATTTATCCACAGTCGTCTCCATCCTGCGCATCACCCGGTCCAGAAGTATCTGCACGGCACGTGCTACATTCTGACCCGTGGCTGCACTTGTTTCCAGGTAGACCAAGCTGAAAAGCATAATTCATTAAAATTTTTAATCTTCTTGATCTTTATAATTTATACTTTTGGCAGTATTTTCTTCAAAAAAAAAAAAAAAAAAAATACTTAAATAGAATGTTTCTATAAACTTATATCTTTCAAAGATTTGAAGTGTAAATAGTGCAAATTGATTTAATTTATTTTACAATTATATTGACAATAGAAACAAAATATAATATATGAAACAAAATAATTGATAAATAATATAATAAATAAGTTTGCTTGAGAAATTGTTATAAAAATATAGACATTTATAATTTGAAATAAAAACATGATTACAGTAATGCTGGATGTAATTATTAATCGCATAATTGATGAGGAAGAAAATAAGTAATGTACTATGTTATTTACCCATGTTTCTCTGCTAATTCCCGTGCCTTATGTTCACTAACAACTCGTTTATCTTCGAGATCGGACTTGTTTCCACAGAGAATTATGTCTGGATCTTCGCAATATGCGTGAGTCTACACGTATACAGATATGAATCAACGATCAAACAAAAGAATATTTAATAAGAAACGGAAATAATACCATAATGAAGTAGTAGACAGTAAACAGCTTAAGAACTAAAACTGATACAATTCTAATTCATTTTTTCTTATAATAAAATATATGAAAAGAAAACTTTGTTTAAAATTTTTTTTTTAAATTATTTTAATTAAAAAAATATATTAATATACTACGTATAATGCTTTATTTCTAAAATGTTTTTAATACTAATAAAAACATATGTATTTTTTATATTATTCATCAGAATAATCAATCAATTGAAAAATCATCATGTATTAACGATTATTTCAATAAAAATATGATGCAAATCTTTTTTAATTTTCATTCAATAATTTTGTACATATTTGTATATTAATAAATTTTACGATCTTTCGATCGAACGATAGTTTGAGTTTTTTTTTATGTAAGTATGCATAAAATAAAAAGTATTTAATATCTACTATTAAATTAATACTAATTTATCTACAATTATTTTTAGCATGCAAACAAAATAAAGCACATTTTATGCTTCAAATTTTCAGGCACAATTGATTAAATTTTTTTTATTTCAAGATCCAAGATTTCTAAACAATTTTTTTCTAAACAATTTATATCATGCAATATATAAAAATCAAAATATTAGTATTTTTAATAGAATTACAATAAATAGATTAACTCAAATCATCATTCATTGTACAATGTTTATGATAATAATGTTAATAAATAATGTATATACCCTAAGCTGCTCCAGCCAATTTCTTACTTCAAGAAAGGACAATTCATTGGTCAGATCAAAAATTAGAAGGAAACCCATAGAATCCCGGTAAAAGGCTGTAGTTAGACTTCTGAACCTGAACATTAGTAGCATTGTAGCACTTGCTATGAAATAATCTAACATTGCTCTATTATGCTCTATTATAAAATATTAATTGCTTGCAATGAAATCTTTTTTTTTTAATTTATATTAATAAATATAATTTTTTTACTAAAATATTGTTAAAAAAACACTAAAAGCCTTTTGATATGCATTATTATAAAATACATAGTCTCTAATATATTATATAATATATTATTATAACAAATGTTACCGCTCTTGACCAGCTGTATCCCACAATTGCAAATGCACACGTTGAGTTCTACCATTTGCCGTCTGGTATATCTGTAATAATTAATGAATTTAATTTATAAGTGATAACATATGTGTGTAAAAAACAATTATTATATTATATATTTATATTTTATTTATATAAATGTTTTCAATATATTTTAAATAAATAAAATTTATATAAAATAAAACAATTTATATTTGTAATAATAAATAAAATAACATAAGCAATAACATATTTAATGAGAGTAATTTCTTACCACACGTTTTTCTTTAAAATCAATACCAACGGTGGATATAAAACGAGATTCGAACGTGCCATCAGTATATTGATATAAAAAACTAGTCTTGCCGACTCCAGAGTTTCCAAGAGCCAAAAATTTAATAAGATAATCATATTCCATTTTGATATATTAATAACTAATTATGCACACTTCTATCGTAAAACTTTGTTAAAATGGCTACTTTGATATAAAATTCTATGAACTGTTTTTAGCATGACTAAAAATCCAAAAAATATAACTTGTATGCGATTACGCTTAATCTTCCAATTTTAAAATGAGAAATGATCGCTACAGTCAAAAAGAAACATGTGCGGCATTAGACACCTGTTGCCTACGTGTACAATTTTCAAAACATTCGCGCGTTTCACGATATAATATTCGACGTGTAACGTCATTTATTCTAATAAATTTAAATATTTTATGATCAAAGATAAACAGAAGAAACACGTAGAAACAACACCTTACTCAAAATTCATGAACTATACTGAACCTTGTTCACAATGACGTAAGGTAGTATGTGTATAGAATAACGCCACGGAAATTGCTGATAATTACAGTACTACCAAATTAACAAAGGAAATTCGAAAAAATATAATCTAATTTTAGATTATATTTATAGATATAGATTATTTAGAGAAATGAGAAATTAAATAATTGTAATATTTGACATTTGCAATTGATTTACATTTTTACAACTTATTAAATAATATAAATATAAAAAAGTACATTGATTTTTTTATTTTTATATTTAAATTTTTTATATTGAAATTTATAAGACTACAATTTTTTACATATTATGTGCATATATAGTATAAAAAGATTTTTTTTAAATATAAAAAGTAAATTATAAAATGAATATTTTCATAGAAATAGTTGGTAACTATGGTGCATATATCTATATCTTAAGAATAATAATAGTTTATATTTTATATAAAAATCCAATATAATAATTAATAATTAACATTAAATCTTTTTTAATAAATTATAATTCGAATTAGAATTTATTATACTTATTTTTTTTTTAATAAGTATAATTGCAGTTATATTATTCATAACCTTAAAAAATAATCTAAAAGATATTTTCATTTATATTTCAATAACAATGATATTAATTATTCAATTATGAAATATAAACGGTATCTCCAACAGTAATAATTCCATTTTCTTTATTTTCTTTACTTAAATAAATACCAAATTTCATTTTTCCGTGAAATTGTTCTGTAAGTGTACGTAGTGGTTCTACTGTTTTTACACCAGTGGTTTGATCAATACAAATCATTTGACATCTAGTGCATGGTCCTATTATCTGAAAAAAAATCATTAATAATCAAAAAGCTAATTACAGATTATTTTTATTTTTATTCTTCTTTCAAAATATACCATAAAACTATTTTTTCCAATATAAATATGTTTCCATTGTGTTTCCTCAAAAGCTTCACAACCACTTATTATTATATTTCCTCTAAATCTATGTATAATTGTGTCTTTTTGCACTTCTTTATCACGTACTTTATCACTAAGCCATAATACACTTGCTTTGTTTATTAATAAAAATTGAGCTTGACTAGAAAATGATAATTCAGATTTAATATTAGCTGTAAAAGAAAAATATATTTATATGATGAAATAAAATTTTAATTTTATTTTTAATTAGTAATTAATAGTATAATATAAAGCATACCCTTTTTTTTATTATTATTATTATTTTGTTTTATAAGTCTCAAATTTGGAAGTCCTAATGCTAAACTTATCCAATTAGAAACATCTGAACCACAATCAGTACCTTGTACTTTATGTCCACATACTCTACTTTGGCATATAGTTTCATTTATGGAATTATCTAAAGGAATATCCATAATAGGCATTCCTAAAATATTTTTGAAATATTAAATTTAAAATATATATATAATAAATGGAATTTTTACCTGGATAATGTAATTGCATAATCCCTTTTTCTTTAAATATAATTGGTTTTAACAAACAAAGATTAATATGTTGTTTTTGTGTTAAACAAGTACCAGAAGATGTAATAATCATCCATTCTCTATCATATTCTAAACCTTTTGAATTTAAATTCCAAGAATTTGTTATCTTATAAGCAGCACATGATTTTATTGGATATATATATAATTGTTCTAAAGTACATTCTTTTTTAATTATACTAGTGTTTGTTATTAGTTTAAAAATTGGATTATCATTAATAATATGTGTTAATGTTTCTTTTTTTCTATCTTGTAAGTTATTACTAATTTCAGTTGCATTATTATGTATCACATATTTTCTTGTATCTTTTATTGTATCTTTTATTTTTTCATCATGTGGATTATATTTTCTATATAAAAATGTTTTATAATCTAACCACCAATCTGGAATTTTATTTATTGGTGATCCATCAACAAAACATTCTTTAATCATAACTAATAATGTTTGAACATCTTTAATTGTTGACATATATCCAAATGATACTCTTATAGCACCTGTTGGTTTACCATCTATTAAATCTGTAGAACCTCCACAAACATAACCAGCTTCATAATTCTGAAGAATTTCTTTATTTGATAGTGCTAAATGTCTTTGACATGCACCAGGATTACAAAAGCAACCAGTTCTTAAATGTATTTTAAATAATGCTGCCATATTTAAAACTTCCATATATCCTATATATTCACCATTAGATCGTATAAGATTAAAAGCAACAATACCTCCTTGCATATCATGATTATCATAAACTGTATCAGAATATAATTTTGCAACTGGTCTTCCATTGCTATGGTGAAGCATTAGCAAGGATGTATATAAAAATTTTGCAAGAGAAAATACATGTTTGGAAATCTTTTCCATTGTGATGAATGATAATATGTCAAAACCATATTTTAAAGATATTATAGAAAGAAATGGTATAGTACCATCTTCAAATCTGTAAGAGAGTAAATATTAATAAGGAATTTAATTTAATTTAAAATAGTTTTTAATTTCTACCTTTGATGAAGATTTTGTCGTTTTATATGAAATAATTCAGAGCTTAAAGATACATTTACAGTACCACCTCCATAATAAATTTTTTGAAGTGCATTTGCACTAACATTTCTTACTAATAATGCACCAATTCCAGTAGGATATCCAAACATTTTATAAAAAGATAAACAAACAAAATCTGGTTTAAAAATAGATAAATTTAACTCATTTGTTGATGCAAAAGCAGCAGCATCAAGTAAGACATACCACTTTGTAGATGTATTAGAAATTACATTAGATAAAACTCCATTATGTACATCTTTAATCCATGTTAAAGGATATTTTAATCCAGAAAAATTACATTGGGCAGAATAAACAAAAAGTGAATTAGTTTTGAATAAATTGTTCTGTTGTGAATGGGAACTAATTGATTTTGAAGAAGAATTGAAGATTTCAAAAACATTATTATGATTTAAACATGTTATTTTTGCTCCTTTTTTACAAACAATTTCTCTCATACCAAGAACTGAAGTATGATTATCTTGTGTGTAAACAAAATGGCCAGGATTGGAAACATTTTTTTCATCTTTATTAAATAAGAATGTATCAGCTATTATCTTTAAGGATGCAGTTGCACCTGATGTGAAAATAATACTATATTCATCGGCAGATGTGTGAAAATGATCTAGAATTCTATAAAAAAAAAAAGATAATTCTGATTTTGTTTAATTAATGATATTATTAATTTTTTATTTATTCATGTCTTACTGATATCTCATATGCTCTATAATATCTTGGGTCACATTACTTGCAGTTCCAATAGAATGTGGATTAGCATAAAGTGAATTATATAAATCAGAAGCAACATTTTTTATTTGTGTATCAGAATATAATGTTGTCCCTGCATGATCTAAATAACATTCTTCTAAAACATAAGTGTTAATTAAAAATATTTTTATTTTCGTATACTTTCTTTTTATAATTCTTTAAATTAATAACATATTTCGTATTATTTTATTACTACGAATATTTATTACGAAACGCTAAATATAATGATTATATAGTTTATAATTTATTATTTACCTTTAATTCTTGAAAAATTATTTTCAAAACTTTTCATGATCTCTTCATCGTATATTGATGTATACAGTAATGACGAATTTATCGCATTTTCCATATTTTATGATATACGAATTAAATAAAATTAAAACTAATAAGATTAGTAATAGATCGCGTTCATCACTTTAGAATAATACCAAACAAGGCAATGACAAGACAGTACAGAAATGATTACCTAATAAAGATTATAAATATATGTTTCATGTTTCTTTGAATTCAAAATGTTGTAAAAATGTCTTATTTAATTGTTTGTCGAGGCTTAAATATTATCATATATATGACTTTTAATTTTAAAAAAAATGCATAATTTACAAAATTGATATATTTTTTGCTTATACATTCAAATTAATATTTTTGCAGATAAGATAACGAAAATTAGAAATGAAAATAACTCAACGACATACATTATTTCAAATTACATTTATTTTATATATTGTTATTATATACATTATATATATATATATATNTATATATTGATTTTTACATCATTTATTTTATTAAACATTAAATGATGATGTTTTTATAATAATATTTGTAATTTTTTTAACATTATATTACAAAATTCAAAAAATTGGAGAATTTTGAATTGATTGCAACATTTTTAATTGCGTAACATCTTTATTTATTAAATGTATAAATAAAACACATGAAATAGAGATAATTTTTTAGAATGAATTAAAGTATTCAATAAAAAATAAAAATATATTTAATATATTTAAAAATAAAAGAAATTTATATGTTAAATTAAATAATTGCATAGTATGATAGATGATGAAAGAAAGATTCTTCATATGACGAGGTGGCCGAGTGGTTAAGGCGTTGGACTGCTAATCCAATGTGCTCTGCACGCGTGGGTTCGAATCCCATCCTCGTCGATTTTATTTTTGTTTTTTTTTTTAATATTATTCTAATACAATTTCTTTTTGCAATATATTGTAGAAAAGTAAGTTTTGAACAATTTATATATAATTGCTGTTCAACTATTTTTAAAATATTTGTAAAATAATGATTATTATTAGCATAATGCTAATAAATCTGTGCATTATCTTATCTTCTGTTTATATATATACGTAAATATATCGCAGCAGGAGGGAATTAAAATACGTATAACGGGTGAAATAAGTCAAAAAGCTATTTCTTTATATTGATAACTTGAAATATAAATAACGTCATATTATTAATTATCAAAATTTTAATAAGAAATATAAACTTTTAATCACAAATGAAAATGAATTCCTTAAATTGAAATTTAAAATTTCTTACATGAAGTAAAAAAATTGAAATGACAAACGCTATAAATAAACATTATGTAACCTAATATTGGATTAATTGTTCTATAATTATTTCTTAAGTTATTTATTAAAAGTCAATAAAAAATTTGATAAAACGATGCAAAATAATTCTGAAATAGAGAGACCACCTAAACCAATTTGGGGAACTGAAATTACAATGCCTTCAGAATTAAATGAATTAAATGAATATGATTTTTCTATTGTAGAAAGTCAAGACGTATCTGGTATATTATCATGTTATAAAAATAAGTCACATTTTTTGACACAATTTCAATTAAAGAATATATATCACAGATCCCACAACAAGTCTTCTGACTCCAACAGAAGAATATCTTCATATGACCAAACGTCTCATTGAAAAAGGTACATTATCACCTCGTACTTCTATGATACTTAAAGAACTTTATACAATATACGAATTGAATGATGGATATGGTTTAGCAACTTTTGATTCGAAATATGTGTACGTTAAACCAGATAAACTAGATATTCGAAAAGATTCTATAGAAATTATTAAACCTCCAATAAAAAAAAAAAAACGAAAAGAAATAGTTAAAGAGGAAGAATATGTATCAAGAGAATCATCAGTATCTCGAAGAAGCACAATAATAACTCTGGAAGAAGAACCTTTGTTCGGTTTACATGTTGTCAAAGACACCACATTTGAACGGCCTTGTGATCCAGAGGCGATTAAAATCAACAATATTTTTTCTGATTTTTCTTTGATCGATACAGGTCACGATAAATGTATAAAAAGGCGCATCACTCAGTGGATAAAAGAAAATTTCAATAAGAAGGAAGAACAAGGAACTAGTGAACAAAAGAAAAGTTTATGGAAAATCGTGAGATTAAATGAAGAACATTATTTTATAGAAATACTTGATGATTCTCATTTTTGCTTTTTATTTTTAGATATTAAGAAGAAAATAATAAAATAACTTGAAATAGCAAATCATCTAGAAAATCACTTTTTTTTGCGATTTTTATTAAATTAATTTAACATCGATCATGCGCGTGATCTGGATTAAAATTTGAAATTGCGTCATGACGGCTTATTATATAAGATTAGTAGTGTTATACTTATTTCTCTATGCAAATTTTATCCGCCTTCAGGATCATGTTGGAATAATCGATTTTATCTAACATTAAATATAATAAAATCACTGACACATGAGCAAAAATTATCAGTAGAAACATGTATTACTTTATATGTCAGTGCCACAATTTGGAGAAAGTGCGTCCTTGACAGGTTCCACAATATCATGACCCGGCATTGGTATATGTATCACATTACATAAACGAAAGGAAGGCCAGGATATAAGGGAAAAAAAATTTAATCGTCTTATGTGACGTTGCAGCATTTTTTTATGCAATACAAATTAAAGTGAGTAACCTGAAAAAAGATCATTCACATATGATGGAACAGCTTTTTTATTTAATTCATCGAAACTTATTATGTGAACATATAATTAGTGATATAACTCAATTTTCCTAGATTCTTAATGAAGTTTAAATAAAGTAATAAATAAGGTATTAAATATAATTTTCATAAATTCTTTTCTGGAATGTTTTATTTGTAAGAATAACGTATGTTAATTGCACCTTTGTAAAATTACAAAATACTATTAAATTTAATATATTTAATATATTAATATATATTTGCATAATTAAAAACTTCATCAAATAAATATATGTTATAATAAATTTTATAAAAATTTGATTTTATTATATAATAAAAATATTTGTATCTGATAGGGAGATATTTTCTTAAGATTATTAAAATATAAATTAGATTATTTAAAATTGCAAATACTTACTAATTCGAAGATTCTAATTATATCAGAACCACGCCCAATGTATTTGTTCGTGTCCCCTCTTAACCTGGCTATCCTATACTTTCTATCCTTCAATCTTAATTCCTTACGAAAAAAGTATAGCGATACAGTTTCCCCACTCTTTATCGACTATATCCAATCCCATTGGAAACAGTGGCACCCAAAATTCGATTGATCCCCCTGCAACCTTAGCTGCATATAAATACTGGGCCAAGTTTAAAACTTCGTCAGAGCACGATTTCTTCACGTAAAAGTAAAATGGTATTCAAGGTAAGCTTCTTCCGTGTACGCCCTTCAGATTATAATAAAACTTACAGAAAGATATTTTATATATTGTAACGAAACATAATATTTCGTAGGAAAAGATTTTGTTTCAATTTTAGATTTTAATTAATTTGATCTTTTTCTATGATCTTTAAAATAAAACTTCCAAAAATAATCTTCAACTTGTTAGTTCTTTGTTAGTTCTTGAAAGATTCTTGCTGTTATTCATCAAATAGTATAGTAACATAATCAAATAGTATAACTTCAATTAAAAACAAAAAAACAATTATTTTTTTTCAGTTTGTAGTATTCGCAGCCTTCTTGGCAATAGCCAACGCAGGTGGCCCAGCTTCTTACGACATCGCAGCATCATCAGGAGATCATAGCAGCATTGGTTTCAGCCAGGAGTCTACGCAAAAAGGATTCGCTGGCCAGAATGTGATCTCCTCTTATACAAAATCTGACGATTCCGCTCATTCCTTTGTTCGTGTTAGCAGTCAGAGTATCAGCAACGATGCTCTTTTGAACTACGACATTGCCCATGCTCCTCTCGTGAAGGCTGCCTATTCTACCCCAGCCTATCTCGCCCCAACCGCTGCTCCTCTTATTGCCAAGACTTATGCTGCACCGTATAGCTACAGTGCTCCTTTGTTGACCAAGACCTACACCGCCTCTGCTCCTTTGATTACCAAGACTGCTGTAGCTGCACCAGCTCCTCTTTTGCACGCTGCACCAGCTTCTCTTCTGACCAGATATACCGCTCCAATCGGTACTGTAGCTCCAGCTCCTCTTTTGCATGCTACATCAGCTGAACCTTTGTTACACGCCGCTCCAGCTTCCTTCTTGCACGCTGCACCGGCTGCTCCTCTTCTTGCCAAGAGCTACGGATACGCTGCCCAGGCTCCAATCATCGCTAAAAGTGCTCTGATCGCCCCAGCCGCCGGATATGCTGCCTCCATTACACCAGCTGCTCCTCTTTTGGCCAAGACTTACGCTGCTGTTCCTCATCAAGCTCAACTGGTCACCAAGGCTTACGGATACGAAACTGCCGCCCCCGTTGTACACACAGTTTTCAATGGTTTCGGTACCAGCTATGCCTGGTAAATTTTTAATTCCATGTGATAACCCTTTTGATTTTCTTTGAAAGAATGTTAGATCTTGGTCTTCTCAAGTCTTGGGAATATTAGATCTCTCGAACAAAATTTCGAAGGCTCGATGATTCTAAAAAAAAATATCATCTCTTAGATAAAGTTCTATTGAGATATAATTAAAACGATGAATTTTATTTGAAGAAAGCTTTGTTTTTTAAAAATAATATTCATTAGAAACGAAAGGGTTAATATGACGAACTGATCCAGATTTGTAGATAAATATTTTGATTATTTTACGTTATTAGAACTATCAAATTTCATTGTACACGTATAAATAATACAAATAGATGTAGATATACGTGTATTGTGTATAAATAAATATAGGTGATATTATTTTATTTATATTACAAACACCGATTACCTTTTTTAGTCGCATTACGAAATAGATTTTCAAATTTAAGGAATTTACTTTTTGTATACCTAAATGATTGACAAATAAATTTTAATTTTTTTGTATTCAATGATATTTATCTTATTTTGTTTGTTTTTCCTAAAAAAATATTTATATAATGATATATTAATAATATAACTTAACATTATTACAATTTATTTACAAATAATATTAAAAGCACTTTTATTTTCCAATATTCCAATTAAAATAATAAATTTATTACATCAGTTTAAATTTATATTACAAACAAAAATACTTTAATTTAATATTTAATTTAATATTTACACGTAATATTTCGATTTATTCAAACAATAAATAATAATTTATTATATTCTTTAAAAAATTTAAAATCACATGAATAAATAATAAAATTTTTCTTTTTTTCATCATACGAGGAACGATTAAATTATTTGATAATAAATTGTAATTACTTATTTAATGGCTATTTTGAGATAATATATTTCAATAGAAAATAATAACAAAATACTATAAAAAAAGACATCCTTGAAATTATGCTTTTTATGAAAAAATTTCCTATCAAAATTGTAAAATAATTCATTGTAAAATAATTCATTTTAAAGTCAATATAATGTATAATAAACAATCGAATTCAATTATCGATTCCGTTATGTTTATTTTTAAAAATTCGAAATATTCTTTCAACTTTCAGTATAATATATATTTAATTAAACATTAATATTAAAATTATACATAATTTATCATTTATATCAATTCATAAATATAAATTTTATGATTACTTAAATAACTATTAATAAATATATTAATATGATATGATTTTTATAATATGGTTAAAATGTGTTGTATATTAAATAATGTATATTAAATAAGGTTGTAGTACGTATTAGTAGTTATGAATTGATAAATTCGAAATTATTTAGAAGTGAATTATAATAAATTGAAATATAATATCTATTAATTTAAGAAATAAGATTAATGATTTATACGTTACTTCCTATTACTTCATGTATTCTCTATTCTACGTACAAAATATGTTAATTTCAACAGAAAATTTTTTCCTAGGATTACGTTTCTCTTAAACTTAAATTAAAAATAATTTGAAGTTCGTAAATATATCAATCATGCCATTATATTCTATTTTTTACACTAGAAATTTAACTAGGGACAATTTTTAAGTGTATAACATGCAAGATATATGTTCACATTATTAAATAGTATAAGTAAATTTGAATGAACAATTGTTTCGTTAATTTGAAGCACGTGTTAGTTTGAAATTATAAAAATGACAAAAATTAGAAAGGTGAAACGTAGAAAGAAATATCGTATGAATGTAAATCGTAAGCGATTACGAAATAAATTATACAAATTACCTACAATAACATGGTAAGTATAACCAAGTCATCGTATTATTTTAATTAATGAATATAATGTATTTAATTATGTATAAAGATTAAAATGAGGTTTATTATTTATAGTGCTCAAATAAAACAATCGTGGGATATAACTAAATCCACACGAACTAATTTAAATCAAATGGGTTTAGCATATGATCCAAATGAAACTTTAAAGATACCCAATACAAAAAAAGAGCTTATTGACAAAGTTTCAAAATGGAAAGTCGAGGAAAATGATGAAAATAAATTGCAGAATGAAGAAGATATTGAAATGACATCAGTAAAAATACATGTAGTACAAGAACTTGAAACAGAAGCAAAAGCGCCAAGAAAAAGGATGTTTAGGTTACCAAATAGTCAAGTTCATTTTCTTACTTATTTGATGGATAAGTATGGAGAAAATTATAAGGTAATATTTTAATTATAGTAATTTATTTGATAAATATTTTTCTGGTTATGAATTATTATATAAATTATTTCTAAATGAATCATATATAGGCTATGGCATTAGATAGAAAGAATTATAATCAATTAACTTGGAAACAAATACGTGCTAAAATTAAGATATTCAAAGGTATCCCTGAGCAATACAATGAGTATCTTCAGAATAAAAATACATAACATAATTCATAATATAATTCATTAATTTCTTAGTATATTTAACACAAATATATTTCAATTTTCATACAAATTGGTATATAAAGTATCAAAGTATAAAATTAATAAATTAATTAATATTCTTATTTAGGTAAGTACAAAAACAATAGACAAGAAAAATTAATACTTATTACAACAGATTTATATAAATATGTGTAATACTATTCACTGTAAATGAATAAAATAGATTTATGTTTCTAAATGCAATCTCTAAATCTTTATTTTATGTATCAATTACAAAAACTAATGTAGTTTGATTTATGCATAATTCACATAAAAAAAAATGAAAGACTTTTACTGTGATTTGATAAAGTAAATAAATAATTTATTAAATAAATATACGTGTATGTGCTGAAAAGAGACTTCATAAAAAATTAAATGATTGCAAATATATTATACTGAAAAAACCTTAAAAATTGTATATTTTTATTTATATTTCTTTTTTTAAAGCTTGAATTATTTGTTTTAAAAAGGTTCATTTTGTGCACAAACTGTAATCACTTTAATCCATTGAAAAATTGTATACAATATGCTAAATTAGGCATATTGTCATTTTCTTATTTACTTCTTATTCTTCTATTCCTTTCTTTCTTTTATAAAGTACTTAACAAAAAAGAGGAGCAGATACACTATCTTTTGCCATATAAAACATTTTTTTTCTAACAGAATCAACGGATGCATGATACCAAGTATATTCAGTTGTTTCTGGAATTTCAGGAAAAGGTCTTGTTTGGCATCCAATTATTTCTACTTTATGCTTATGAGGTGAAATACTTAATAAATCTAAAGCTTTCTTAACTTCTTCTGGCTTTAGAGCACTGGGACAATCCTAATTTTATACATTAATATACATTAGAAAACTTTTAATGAATTCTTAAATAAGTATTATTAAAAATATTTACCTGTTTATTAGCAACTACTAAAATTGGTACATCATCCATTCTTGCATCACTTAATAACTGTTTCAAAATAGAAGCAGCGGAAGATAATTTGTTTATGTCAGATGCATCTACTACAAATAGTAACAAATCTGTATCTTGCAAGAAAGCAGTCCAATATTTTCTAGTGGCATCTGAACCTCCAACTAATATAAAATAATATTAAATAATAAAATAATATTCAACAATTATATTATAAATAATCTTTGATAAAATAAAAAATAAAATAAAATTTACATACTATCCCAAACATTATAAAATAGAACCCCATTTTTTATTCTATATACAGAAGAACCTTCTGTGGGTTTTGGAGGGACAATATATGAAGTTTCATCACCGTTTGCCACACATATTTGGTTTATAATCGACGTTTTTCCAGCTCCGGATAAACCTAATAGAAGCACTCGTTTTTCATGACTGTCATCAATCTATAAAAATAAAGCAATGAGAATTGTTATTGAGATTTCTTTCAACAAATAAATATAAACAATAAAATTGACATCACTAAATCAACTCTAAGAACGATCAAAAATGGTTTCAAATCAGAACTCTAACCTTAGACACTTCTTCAAAACCTTCGTCTATTGCCAAAAGTTCTCGTTTTTTCCAATATCGATATGCAATGTATGTACCAATGCATGTACATCCGATCCAAAAGATCTTTTGACCGTTTTGAAATACATTTCGTATCATTATTCGTGAATATTGTTATTTAATGAAAGACTGAAAAGTAGTGCCGACTTTCTCGGCTTAAATTTCGCGTGTTGGCACGTTATCTTATGAATTGTCACTTCACCGCATGACATCTACCTCTCATCGTTTAAATGAGTTGGGCGATAATTATAAGACTTATGAAACGCATTTATAAGATTATTTGCATTTGTGTGAATTTCTAACGGTACAAAATAAATCCTTTTTCAAAAGCGCCAACTTTCTCCGTTTGTCAACTTGATACTACCATAGATGATGTATAGAATAGATTAACATTTTATGAGATTTTTGCGTCTCATATTTTGAAATGCCGATTACGCAAAAAATCAAAGTTTTATAAGAAATAGTAAATGAATAATGATATGATGCATACATATATTAAAAGAATGTAAAATATTAATAAAATTATTCCAACAAGTTTCACATCGTTGTTAAATTTTTATTAGAATATGATTACCCATTATAATATATATATATATATAATATAGATAATTTCGTTTAAATTTTTGAATGGGTTAGGCAAAAAAAAAAAAAAAAAAAAGTAAATTAAATATTAAAATTATTTCTTGAATGCGGAAGAAGTAAGAAGAATAAATATTAGCAGAAATATAAAGATAAAAATAGAACATTAGTGCTATTTTTTTAGTGTTTTTAAAAATAAATTTTTGGCATTCAATGATAAAAAGTTTCTAGTGTTCTTGAAATATAGGAGAAAAAAATGTATTAAATGTTAGATCTATATTGTGTTTCGTCTGTGGTACTATTGATAAGAAGAGTTGAGAACAGAATTAATTTTCTTGTGATAATTTTTGAATATTTTATACATATGTAAATACAATAATTACATATATTAAAAAATATAATTATAAAAAATACTATTATTGATAATTTACGTTAATTGCTCGTAAAATAAATAATATATAAATTTAACTTTGTTCTATTATATTCGACCGTAATCTATTCAATCAATTGAACACACGTTTTTGACAGTTCTTTTCAGTTAGCGGGTAGTTTATTTAACTTTTACATAGAATAAAAAGTAAAAATAAAAATAAAATTATTTATATTTCGATACAATATTATTAAATCTCGTTTTTGAAAGTGTATGTAAATTTCTATTTCAAAATTGAATAAAGAATGAAGAATGGTTAAGTCAATAATGTATAGGTTAAACATGAATCTTTTAAAGTGATTATATTATTAAAAGTAATAAAAAAAATGGATAACGTTTCGACTGCAGAGTGTTTAACTCTTGATTTTGGTCCCTTTGAAACTGTTCATCGTTGGCAACGTATGCCAGAATGCGACGAATTCGTTGGTGCTAGGTAATAAATTAAATTAATTTAATCTTAACTATACGAATTATTATTTTCAATTTTTGTAAATTATTTTGGACCTTCCTTAATCTTTTACAATGTTCAAACAATAATTTTGTTACAGCATTTCAATTCCATTAACTGTGCATCAGTGTTTCAATTAAATCCAGCATTTTTGAATCTATTTATTTACTTTCTAACTTTGTTTTAAAGATATTTGTAATTGCTAATTGTAAATAAATAATAATAAGTAATTTATAGAGTTTTTAATTATTACCAATATAATTCTTATTTAAGTTAAGTTATAATAGAAATTATAACTATGATTGATTAAATTCATTCTTTTTTTATTGCATTTTATTTCCTTAAATTATATGTCATGTTAGAAAGAATAATGTAAATACATTATTTCAAAAGTTCACTATATTGTATTATACACAGGCGTAGCAAACATACTGTTGTAGCCTATAAAGATGCAATCTATGTGTTTGGTGGTGATAATGGTAAAAGAATGTTAAATGATTTGTTGAGATTTGATGTGAAAGAAAAATCTTGGGGACGTGCATTTGCAACAGGAGCACCTCCTGCCCCAAGATATCATCATTCTGCAGTTGTGCATGATTCTTCTATGTTTGTATTTGGTGGTTATACTGGTGATATACATTCCAATTCAAATCTCACCAATAAAAATGATTTATTTGAGTACCGATTCCAAACTGGTCAATGGACAGAATGGAAATTTATTGGGAAGTATGTCTTATTTATCTCATTTAACTTATTTTTGTTTTTTATTATCACTTCAAATTATTAATTGTATAGTTATAAAACTATATATTCCTTTATAGAACACCCGTAGCTAGATCTGCACATGGAGCTGCTGTGTATGATAATAAATTATGGATATTTGCTGGCTATGATGGTAATGCAAGATTGAATGATATGTGGACTATATCATTATTAGTAAGTTAATATATTATATTTAATATGAATGATAAATTATTATTTTGTCATCGTTTTTAGCCTGGAGAATTAAGAGTATGGGAAGAAGTTGATCAATCTGGTGATTGTCCACCAACATGTTGCAATTTTCCTGTTGCTGTAGCACGTGAATCTATGTTTGTATTCAGTGGTCAAAGTGGAGCTAAAATTACAAATAGTCTCTTTCAATTTCACTTTCGAGAAAAACGGTAAGTTTATAATTTCATATCTTAAAATTATATTATATTCAATGAAATATGAATCATCAGATGGACGCGAATTTCAACGGAACATATACTTCGTGGTGCACCACCTCCGCCAGCACGACGATATGGTCATACTATGGTTAGCTTTGATAGATATCTTTATGTATTTGGTGGAGCAGCTGATTCTACGCTACCAAATGATCTTCATTGTTATGATCTTGATACACAAACGTGGAATATTATTTTGCCATCTGCTGATAGTCAGGTTCCATCTGGTCGTCTGTTTCATGCGGCAGCAGTAATTGGAGAAGCGATGTTTATTTTTGGTGGAACAGTTGACAATAATGTACGATCTGGAGAGACATATCGATTTCAATTTTCGTCATATCCAAAATGTACTTTGCATGACGATTTTGGAAGATTGTTAAGCGGACGTCTTTTCTGTGATGTAGAATTTATAGTAGGAGATACAGAAACAAAAATACCTGCTCACATAGCTATGGTAGCAGCTCGTTCGCAATTTCTTAGGACTCGTATTAGACACGCTCGAGAAAAACGAGATAAACATATGGAAGAAGTATTTGGAACTGTCGATATACCGATTAAAGATATGCCATTGTTAGAGGTAAATATATTTATTTGATACCCGATATTGGGTATCAATACTTTGATATATTGTTACTATATCATAGGTAAGACTGAAAGATGCTGTGCCAGAAGCATTTGAAATGGTCCTAAACTATATTTACACTGATCGTATTGATCCAACGAAAAGAAACGAAGACGGATCGAGCAGTCGTGTTGCTGAAGATCCATTAAGCAATCGAATTGTACTTCTTATGATGGATGTCTATCGTTTAGCTTTACAGTTCAATATGAAAAGATTAGAACAATTGTGTGTCCAGTATCTAAAAGCAACTATAAGTCGTGCTAATGTTTTGGAAGCATTGCGTAATGCTGCTCATTTAAAACTTTATTTCATAAAAGAGTTTTGTTTGAGTTTTATCGTGAAAGAAAATAATTATAATCAAATTGTAATGAGTAAAGAATTTGAGACTTTAGATCAACCTTTAATGGTGGAAATTATTAGGAAAAGACAAATGCCTCAAAAAGGTGCATTTCCTAGACAATTTGATCTTAATGCAGGTACGATCTTTCAAAATTGTTTGTAAAATAATAATTTTATTTGTAGTTTTATTGAAAAATTTTTTCAATATTTTGTTTTGTTTTAGGAACAACTTTGGAACAGGATATGGAAGCATTTCTTAAAAGTGTTGGCAGAGAATTTTGTGATATAACGCTCATGTTAGATGGTGTGCCAATTCCAGCTCATAAAGCTGTTCTTGCGGCACGATGTAGCTATTTCGAGGGAATGTTCCGTTCTTTTATGCCAGAAAATAATACTGTGAATGTAAGTTATTGATTTTTTACGTTTTTATCACGTATTTGACAATTAAATCATAACAAAACGTGTGCTTTTATTACAGATACAAATCGGTGAAATGATCCCATCTTCTGAATCATTCGATTCTTTATTAAGGTACATTTATTATGCAGATGTTTCGATGCCACCCGAAGATTCTTTATATTTATTTACCGCACCAGTTTTTTATGGTTTTACAAATAATCGATTGCAAGCATTTTGCAAACAAAATCTTGAAATGAACGTTACTTTTGAAAATGTTATACAAATTTTGGAAGCTGCGGATAGAATGCAAGCTGTTGATATGAAAAAATATGCATTAAATCTTATCGTGCATCACTTTACAAAGGTTCATATATTTCATTAATTTCTTTTTTTATTTCACGAAATAAACAATTTTTTTCTTATCATAAATATTATTTTATTTCATCATAGGTTGCAAGGTTACCGAAGTTAAAGCAATTAAGTCGCGAACTTTTACTGGATATTCTGGAAGCATTGGCCGATGAACGTAGTGAAGCTCGAACATGTCAAGACATGGCGAATGATTGCTGACGGATCTCGGGCTCACATCGTCGTCCCCGTAGTTGGGATTTGCCTTCGCCCTCGAGCTTTCAAGTAAGTGTGCAATACAGTATTCTAACAACATTCAACATCTTTTATCTTTTGGGTTATGGGTATATAGTAGATGAGTGTCTGAAAAACCTAAAATATCGTGCGCGTATGTAAATAGGTAAATAAAATATGAAAGCTGAATATAAAATTAAAGATGAATAATGTGAATATCTTTAGAATATTTAATTTATTTGTACATAAAATATGATTTATTGAAAATCTCTTGTAAAAAAGAATAAATAAAAAATATTTATTGGATCGCTTAATATTACTCGTGTAATATTTGCCTTGTTCGAATACAAAATAAAAAAAGAAAATTAGTAAAAAAAAAAAGCTAAAAAAAAAAAAAAATTATATTTTAATTTCCAATTGTTGGCATTATCATCCATTAAAAAGATTTTGATATTAGGTTTAGAAATAAGTGGTATTCAATTGGGTATTAAACGAGACACGTAATTAATAAATTATGTACTATATTTTGATCTTGATTATGAATGATCGTACATACACGCACAATCGATAATTTTTTTTTTTTTTATGATAATTTTAACACTTGAAGCTTAATACAAGCGCAAATTTTGGAAGGGGGGGGAGAGAGAGAGGGGGGGGGGGGATTGAAAGAAACCTTACGCAAAGGAGCTCGTATAAAATCATTGCTCTTCTTTTCTCTTTACATATTGTTGTCTCTAGTTAGGTGACGTTCGTCGACATCCCGACAATCGTTAGTTCAGTCTCTTGAACAAAATATCGTGAAATTTAATTTGTACCTAAAGAAAATTTATCTTTCACTCTCTTTTCACGCTTTTCGCAACTTTCCACATTTAGTAATCGTGTGTTTATCAAAGCTTATACGAGGGATTTTTCATTTTCTTTTAATTTTTTTTTTTTTTTTCTTCTACATGAAATGTAATACTTTTCTACGTGTGTGTGTGTTCTCATTTCTAAATGTCCGTACCTGCTTTTATATCGTTAAATCACGAAACTCGAACTCGTTTATTTTAAAATTGTTGCTCTAAAGGCGTCTTATTCCAACTATTATAATCATCTAAACTTAAATCACGATAAATAGTCGTAATATTAATTACACTAGGTAGGCCTTTTTCTTTTTTCTGTTCGTCGCTTAGGATTCTGAATGAATTAGAGTAATATTGAAACGTGATCGTCACAACCCGACGAATTAATTACAAAATGAGATCTAAAAGTTACACCGCTAGAATCAAATTACAATGATACGATCGTAATAACAAACTTCACGTTGATTTCGAATGGCCCCAATCTGAAACAGATTCTTGTACAGTAATAGAATCATACGATCTGCTTTACATTTTTTTTTTTTTTTTTCTTTTCAAAACTTATCAGATAAAATAAAATTTTTACTCACCGATTGTAAAATTGCTCGATTCATATTGTAGGCATAAGGAGTACGTAAACGTTTTTTTTAATTCAATTTGAATCCCTTCTCAATCGTTTCAATCATTTTTCTGCTCCTGCATGAAAGTGTGTGCAGCACTTGCATACAGACAACAGAAAGCAACATTTTATTTCTAAACATGATCCAACGTACTCCCTCATCAAATGATAAGATGGTCCATAGCAATCTATCTTCTTAGTAGGTTACTCTTGTATCCCAATTCTAGTCATTTCTAAAAAAAAAAAAAAAAATAGATACATCTTCAAACTCTCTATTTTATATATACACATTCAAAATATCCATGTATAGAAAACACAAGGTGTTTTATGATGTTCTCTTTAAATTAAAAATTTGGACATTTCTTTGCTCTATGTAAAATTAAAGAAAAAAAGGAAAATGCACGATTGATGAATATTATATTGATTTTTAACAAATTATATTTTATTATTAACGAGGCTAGTATATCTTGTTTGAATATTCAAGAAATATATAGCGTGTCTCAAAAAAAATATCATCATTAAGAACAATTTTATTTAACCTTTTCTTTGATGCTTATTTGAATAATCTTTCATAAGACACCTTGTAAAGGAATAATATCGACTAGATTAATTTTCAATTTTCAATTTTTATATCATTATTAAATCATAATTTTAAATAAAACCTTTTCCTCCGCGATGCTGCTGGTCGATGGCATCCTGTGCGAAGGTTCCAGCCTTCTTCGCCTCTCTTCAATGGCTTCCGCGTCTAGATTCATCGTAGGCTGAACCGTTTGTGTCACAGACGTGCTTATGTGTCTCGTTTTAACGAGAGGTGGATTTCGTGATTGAGGAATCGCGAACGCTCTTCTAAGCGCCCCTCTCGGGGGTGACGGTGGTGGATAGGAGATACCTAATGGTATTTTTTCGATTAGCACCCTAACGTAATTAGATTATTTCGATCGTTTTCTTTTTTTTTTTTTTTTTCTTGGTGCTAATATCAAGCAGAGTGAGTATTTTATTATTACTAATTTTTTTGTATTATTACTAATTCCATGGTATAATAACAGGATCGGGAGAAGCACAAAAGAAGGAATAGGATCGACTATTATCTAAATGTTGGAGTTCAGTGCAGCGGGAAAATAAATAAATTATTACACCGATATTTTGTTTGATCCCTTGAATTTTAAACTTTCTATATATTCTCCTATTGTCTAAATTTTAAGCATGCACAGTGCTACCGGTGTTTCGCCGGTGCTTCTTAGTCGCAGCAGACCTCTAAGGGATAAAAAGGGTGGAAAGAGATATAGTCCCGCGTGGGTAATTGCTACCTCGGTGCCCTGGTGAAAGCAAAGTGTCCTTGCTTTTTGTTATTTGGGGTACGATTAGAAGCGAGTTTGGCGGTGTCGGAGACACGGTTGAAGTTTGTGGCGAAGTGGCTAGGGTCAAGTTTGGCAGCGATTGGCCCAAGCTAGAGTACGCCGGCACTTGGACACTCAACGTGTTAGGCGTCGGTGACTTACTCAGCGGGTATCGTCTATTATCAAATTTGTTAGGACTAAAATAACGGTTAAACGTTGGTCAGATTGCATATAATAAACACTTATTCGTGTTAAACTCGTTAAACATTCGTTGTTGGTATCCCGTACGTTTACCTTATTTGCAACGGTCTATGATTGTGGCCAGAACTGTCGCCACCTTCCTCGGATGATACGCTCGAGGCTCGCGGTGGCTCGCTCGTTTCCACGCTGATATTTCTGCTTGGATTATAACTAGGGAGAAAAGTGCTGCTTCCCGGTGAAACGCCTTCCATCTCTATACTTCCACTGGAAGCGGTTTCATGGCTATTAGTGCTTGCAAACCTTTGATATCCCGAGCTACCTCTCCCTTTTCAATCCGTTTTCGATCAGGCTTGAGCCTATTACCTGTGACTGTGGGCGAGGCTGCTCACCCTTGACGCCCGGCTGCTCCCTCGAGGCGTTTTTGGGATCCCCTCGCATTCCTCTGCTTCGTACTCATCACTGAGAAAACTGCTATGTTGTCTAGTGACCGTGGTCAAGTTCATCGTGTTGCCAAGCGGTGGCACTTTCATTAACGCGAATTGTTGTTGAGCTTTCCTGATCGATTCCATCCAAGACTGTAAAAAGTTGGGTGTATATTTATACATGGATATGAAAGAAAAAAGTTTATAAGTATAAGTTTCACGGACGAGGAGTATGTATACCTTGGCCAATTTCGATTCTCCGGCGCTGAGAACCAGAGCAGCTGATGCCGCCCCATACTCGTTCAGATAAACCAAGCCTAAACTGGTCGGCTCCTTCAGCTCGTGTATTCGGATACGATCGATTACGTACGGTTGTCTTATAATCTTCAAACCGCCCCCCACGGTGCCAGTCAGCCCGCTGGAAGTTTTCTTGGTCGACGGTTTGCAGATCAATAGCATGTCTGTCAGCAACAGTATGTGTACTTCCATCTGCGATGTATAAAAAGAAGAAGGTTCAAAGTTTGCTTTTTTGATTTAAAATTTTATCAAATTTTTACTTTAAAACGGTATTATTATTCGATTACCTTGCTGCTAACGGCGTCTCTTAATTTTAAATCTCCCTCGCGAAGAAGTACTCTAAGGGTGTCTTTCGAACAACCCGGTATTGGAACCGTGGTAATATCAAACGTGCTGTGAATTTTAATCAGTTTCTCCAATTCTTCGTCTCTCGACTCGACCACATCGTAGCTTTCTATTCGAGATGCAGCGCTGGCCAACCGCGCTGTCTCCTCGTTCCTCTTCAATGCTGCATTCACAGACGCCACGAAGTCGTCTACAGATTTGATCTGTAACAGTTTCTAAAGTAAAATAACAATCATATAATACTAATGTATTTGTGATGATTTCCTTTACCATATGAGTCAATTCTGCTCGTTGCTCCTCGTTCTCCGTGTTCTTGTGAACAGCCTTCAAGAGCAGAGAATACTTCGTCAACCTCTGCATAGGTTTCACCAGTATGTCGAGCAGTTTCAATCGATTGCAATCCTTCTGAGTCTCACACCACTGATAAAAAAAAAAAAAAGAAACGAAGAATGAAGAAAAAAAAGAAAAAAAGAAAACGTTTTAAGAAACTTAACTTAATGGAAACTTTAATTTTTCCTTTTAAAAAAATTCTCACCACCAGATAGACCGTAAATAATTGATTATCGTTGAGACGGTCTCTGCAGTATTGCTGACATTTGCTTTGCTCCGCGCAATATCTGGTGTAGGGTGCGAAGGTTTGCTCGAACGTCTCGAAACCTTGCAGAAGGTGGCCTGGTTCGAGCGGTTGTCCAGTGGTCCTCGACGTATTTACCATGGCTAGGACGTACTCGGTCCAGAAGTAGCGATTCGCGGCGTAGATCTCGGGGATGTTACTGAATAGCTTCGTCCTGTCGACCTCGTTCAGGATATTCGAGGCCTGCAGGCTGCAGAGGCACGCCATAAACAGCTAAAGTGTTAATAAACGTTGTAGAATAATGGAAATTCGATATCGTAAAATATATATGAAAAATATTTTTACAAAAAAAAAAAAAAAAAGAAACATAAAAAGATACTTACGTCTGTCACAACCTTTAAAGTCTTGATATAAGCCACTTCCGTTTGAGCCAATTCCCATAAAGCAGTCTGTTGTTGCTGTTGTTTCTCCGATAATTGATCCGAGTTTTGAACGATGTCGCGCCAATCTTGTTCTAAGTACAAGGCTAAAATTGAAAAAAAAAAAAAAAAAAAAAAAAAAAAGAATTAATACACAAAAATATAATCGATTAATTTTCTTTGTATTTTCTTTTCAGCCTGGAACTTTCCGAGAATACGAGCAAGAAACATCGTCCGTTCAAAATCACAATTGTACGTTCACAAACGACACGTGAAATGTTACTCACAGGGGAGATTGTATAATATTTTTCTCATGTGTATATTTTGTCGACAATGTATAAAAAAGAAACACCCATCGATCCCCAGCGTTATAAATATGTACATTAAACGTCTCGCAATGTAAGATAATTTATTGGATAAAAGTATAAGTTTGTACAGAATATATATATATATATATATCTATCACTTTTCATTTTTTAAATTAAATCTTAAAGATGCTGCAGACGAGATCTCACGAATCATTGATTGCTAACTAACCATTACTGACCGCTAATTAAGATATAATCTCGAACACTGTACTTCAAGAACATCGAAATCGACGAGATTCCCTAAACTAATTATCTTCAACACTTTTACGATGATTCGAAAGTTTGCTTACCATCTTCGTTAAAGGCGAGCTCGTATGACAATTGTGTATCCTTGGGTACCCCATGCTTGTTATAATCGTCCAGCAGAGAGGTGAGTAGATCAAGTTTTGTGCCCTTCGTGTTGGTGAAGAAGCCGCTCCATCGCTGTTTACTAGGTTTGAGCCCCGCAGCCCCAACGGAGCTCCGACCAGATGTGAGCGTGGTGCTGCTTCCGACCTCGGAGTCAACGCTCGAGTCTTCCGTCGAGACGCTGAAGAAACGACCGCTGCGGCTCCGATAATTCTGCGAATATTTTCGGTACGTTTCTCTGATAATAAATGAAAAACTATAAATAGCGAAGTTATTCTCGTCAAGACTCGTTAATGGACTTGTGAACCGAGTGAGAAGACCGTTTGTCGCCCGCATTGGTTCGATTAGTTCCTAACTTAATGATGAACGGTTTAATTTCCGACATCGACCAGAACTGCGTTTGTTATGGAACAATGTTAAAGGAATGATCTTTCTTCAAGTTGTAACAATTTATGATACGAAGCTGGCTGATCACATTTTATATAAAATTATATTACGAGGTGAAACAACTATTATTGAAACTATTATTATGGATGGAAAACATTTTATAAATATAGAGGGATATTTTTAAATATTCAAAGGAAATTAGATATTAAGGGAAATCTAATAGGAAATGCATATACGTGTCGATAATTCCTGCTTCTCCCCCTACCATGATTAAATATTTGATCGAGAAGTTCCAATACATGATTGAAGTAATTGGAAGATCGACATATATGTATCATCTGGGAGTTAATTAATGACCAGTGAGGGTTATAACACACGGGTTCAAAGATACTTATAAATCAAATGTTACGTATATATTATTATCATCTATCGTCAGCCAAGGATAATTTCTCATCTATGCCAATGAGAGATAGTAAAAGACAAACTCAATTCAGATTATTAACCATTAATTAAACATAAAAATAAATTCATAGAGCTCTTGTAAATCGCATATTAATTATCTCATCCCTATAACGTTGTAACACAAAATCATACGCAAGGTATAAGATACAAAAGTAAAATCCACACTATCGCAGTAAAACGATTCCATCACTAAATCAACGAGAAGACCTCATTATTCGAATTCAGTATCGCTGTCAAACGTTCATTTCGAATATATATATATCCCTAACACAGGATATAGACAAACAAAGCTCGATATTACCCGCGTCGAAAATTGATGAGGCAATCGGCCGACCTTCTCACCTCGTTACAACCCCGCTTCGTGATAGAAGGATTAGCGTCGACTATCGACCGTCGACCTTCTTTATAGACATCGGTCGATCGAGGATCGTTCCCCGAGGAGCGGGTCAAGGTTCAAAAAAAAAAAAGAAGAAAAAATCCCACGATGTCGCCGAGATTACCATTGCATTGTCCGAGATTATTAAAAAACCACGTACTTACGTTCGATCGAAGAAGATCGAAAGAAAGGAGCTTATATATATAGATAGCAGCACAATGAGCAATCTCGCTTCGATATTCGAACATCCTCGGGATACAGAGATTACAGGGACAAGCAAACGATTCGTTTGAATCATTTTTAGAAACGTCATCCGCGCTAATTAAAAAATCCGTGGCAATTGAAACGGAACGAGCAACGACGGTTGGATGAGGATAGAGAAGGAGGAGGACAGAGGAGGGTTGGATTCGTCTCGAGGGACGCAAGAAGAGGGGACAAGAGAAGAGGTTCTTCGAGTTATCGACTGTGTCCTCGGTGTTGCCTCTGGGACGGGGAAAGTGTTCAAGGTTCCATTACAGGGATTAAACGGCGCCCAGTTTTCCTTTCGGTTACGAAGATGGATATAGAAAATTCTTACCCCGCTTGGCTTTCTCAAGGAGACGCTCTGGTTGCTTCTCTGGCTCGACGATCTCGAGTTCGATTTTTCGTTGTCCTTAACTGGAACAGAAAACGGGCTGTCAGTTGTTTCCAATCTATTTTGGAATACGTAAAGTTTCCCTAAAGCGATCCAGGGGAAGTTGTAGTTTCCTTTTGCACGGCCGTTTGTCATGCGTTTCCGGCGATCGATTCATACTCGGGAAAGAGAGTGGTGAATCGTTCTTTAAACTTTGTCCGCGGTGGAAAAAGTTGCTTGAAAAAGATTTCTGGTAAGTTCGATCGTAGGAAAGAAAAATAATCGAACGGCAAAAATATTAGATTAGATTTTTCTTTGAATCGTTTATTGAGTCGATGAATCAACGATAAGAATTTTATCAATCTTCGAAATGCAAATCTCCGATTTTCTTTCAAAACGATTTAAAAAAAAAATTATTTAGATAAGATAGATTATTTTTCCAAACGTTTATATTTTTTTCTATTGAAAATCCTGTTGGGTAAATGTGATATTAACTGTGTTCAATGATCCGTAGAAAATTTTTTTTTCCCTCGATCGATATCGATTCAAACTGAAGTAAAAGATTTAACAAGTGGCAATCGATCGAATTCAATCAAATTGAAAAAAAAATATTTCATCTGCAAAAGCGATTAATGCGACTGATTATTTCTGATCGATATATATATATATATATATATATATAAACTTGGAATTTTTCAGCTTATGACAACGAAAAAGCTCATTTCACAGACATCGCGTTATCGCGATGTTCGTGACAATTCTCGCATGGGGTGAGGTCGAACAATGATGGATGTTTTCCACTCGCGTACTAAGCTCCATCCTGTATCTGATCGCACGTTTTACCCACTCTTTAGACTCTTTCTTGCGTGGATGAAACGAGAGCGATATTTCGGCGCAACGTGCGAAAAAAGAATAACTATCAAGCGTGATACCCATCTAAACCTCTGGCAAATAATTGCGTGAGCCTTTGTTCACGCATTAAAATCGTGTTTACGTCACAGTGCCGATAATTTCTTTCTGGGTAGGGGGCTTTAAGGTTCAAGGTCACATCCTGTTCGACACACACAATTCTAAAAATAATTAGTATAATTTTTTTTTTTTTTTTAGAAGTAGCCTTGATAAGAAAATTTTAATTTTTTTTTCTCTAGATAGTCATAAATCGGGCAATGCTCTAAGGAATATCTTTGTTTTAATCTCAAATATGCATATAAAAGAGAGATATTTTTCAAGATTATAGAGTTATAAAGTTGTAATTAAAAAAATCTCAGGAGCTCTATTCTTTTAAAGAATTTTATGTTTCGCAGGATGATCTTTTGCACTCACATTTTCTTAAATATTAAAAAAGATAAAGAAAAAAGATCGTCTTGATGTTACAATAACCTTGTTGAAACTTGTCACATTTAAACTTTTAAATATTGCAGAATTATATATACGTTTCTATCGTTTGATTTTATCATTACACGAAATTTATTCGAAATATTTTTCTGCATTTTTCACATTTAAATAATAATTATATATATTTAAACAAAGATACTTAAATGCGGAAAGAATTTCGAATATACGAATAATAAAATTTATTAGTAAAGCGTAACATTATCTAAAACTTAAGTAATCGCAGTGAAATGTGAACTATGATCGAACATTGCTCGAGCAAGGAATTCGAATTTAAACAAGATATTTGATTGGTGGTTTTCAACGAGTGTTATAACGTTATAGCTATCCGAATCGCTTATCGAAGTTGCTTCGATAAACGACGAGGAATTTGAGGTTTTCTTGTTCCGAGACAACAACCCCCGAGATAAAATTATTTGAACCATGTTTCGACCAACGTGTTCCACCTAGATTATGAAGTTTACTTTATACGTTTCCTCCTTTTTCCATTTCATTTCATCATCCCTTATTGTTACTTAGATCATGGAATAAAAACGTATTTTGTACTTTTTTTTATTTCTCGATCGAATTAAACGACTCGAAAAAAAAAAAAAGAAACCCACTCAACTCGAATTATTAAACGAAAATTTTCCTCGAATTTCCCTTCGATAATTGTATCGTTGGAAAATCGCATTACGTGCACTATCTATTATTGTATCTCGGTTACGATTAATCGAGTTAAACGCGCCTTACTGTATCACAACGGAGCATCCGTTTATTTTTTCGATATTCGATATCGCTTCGGAGAGTAGGTAAGTAGGTTTGCTCGGAAAGGTATACGAGAACAGGGTCTATTAAGTGGCTTCCTTTGTCCTTGTGAATTCCTTTTTAGCGCTCTCAAGGATAGGGGTGGTAAATTAAGGAATTATAGCACCTATGCGTCCTTCCCTCCTTCACGATCCTCCACGATTCGTCGCGTGATACGCGCCCATACGCGTCCCGTTTCACCCTTTTTATTTAATCGTTAGACTAGATACGACGTCTAGATGGAATACCGTGTTTCACGCGATAAAAATCGCGGGATTTTTCGAAATCGATTTCTGTCCGCGTCAAATCGGTGGGAAAGCTCGATACGAAATAATTCTTGTCATCGGATCACCTTTCTATCTTTCTACCACCATTTTGTAATTGCGCGAATAAAGAACGTCGATTAAAATGGCGGAATGTCGATAAAACAGTTTTACACACTTTTTCATTCATCGTTCATTTTCCTTTAAATCGTCATCGTATTTTTTTAATTTAAAAAAAAAATACTACCGCGTTGAGGATCATATTCATTTCGATAATCCTTCATAATTAACGTTAATGAAGACTATTCGGATGAATATCGAAACGAATAATTTCACGAATATATATATATATATATATATATATATATATATATATATATAATAAAATTCTACAAATTTCATCAGAAAAGTTAAGTAGAATTCATCTATATATGGCCAGATACAAAGTCAAACACGCCTGTTCTACACCGCGCAGCGGTAGTAGTAGTTCAAACTCGATTTTATCTCGAGCTTTAAGTAGTATGACCCGATTATGCTCGGACAGAGCGACTTTACGCCTCGATCAAAGTTTCGCCTTCGACGCGAATCCATTTATCGTCGCTTGTGTATACATTTATCACTCGTGACCGTCGTCGTACGTGTACCTATGCCATTTTTTTTCTTCTTTCTCCCTCCCTCTTTCGCATCGATCAAAAGATGTCGCCCCTCACGGACACACGTCCACTTTACATCCGTTTCGCATCGAATTCAATTTCCTTTTTTTTTATCCGTCCCTTCGATCATCGATTCATGCGCCATTCAATGCCAGTAACATTGATAACGTTGCTATTAACATCGCAATTACGATCGCGTGTTTACATCGATTCTTATGGCCCGTTTAACTTTATCAATTCGTTCGGGGGAGAAGGGGGAAGATTCGTCGCGTGCACGCGGTCGAATGTCAATTAGTTTCGTCCATCGAAATCACGATCCTATCTGTTATCAGTCACCACTCAGTGAATTACACTCAGCCCCGTTTCGATTTTACCTTTAACTTCCGAATCTTGCAACCGAGAATGCAAATGGCTCTTGGTTTGGCTAACGAGTGAACTTTCGCGATAACTTTAGCATTGGTGGACTCTCTAGCCAATGACGTTCCACGTTTCGTTTCCCCAAATCTCTTATATCTCTGTCTACAACTATAAATAGATATATATCGGCCGTAGTTTTGGTAATATCTCCGTCCTTTGCGTGTTTCGTTGAATGATTTCTGGGATAATAATAACTAGACAGATAAGGAATCTAACCACTATCTCTACTAAAACTAAAAAAAATTTGCGAAGTGCAATTCACGAATTCCCCTGAAAGTCCTTTTCCTTTTCTAATCGTGTCAATATCCAAATGTTTCAGGGAATATCAGAAATGAATGTAAAACGTGAATTCGTGAATTTTACCTGTTATTCGCAAATGCTTGCCGCCAAGGCTGGAGGTGTCCGTGGTGAGGATCGGCAATGGCGGCGAGAAACCGTCGAAGACCTCGATCCGCGAGATGTCGATCCCGCGCCTCTCGCAAGCGGCGTTGATCGCCTCGCTGCAACAAAGCGGCGGTTCTTTCGTAATTTTCCATTTAACGACGGAATCATAATAGTGGTAGTAGGGTTATCGTAAGAGTAAACGGAAGAACAAGAATGGAGGCCACGCCTAGGCGTAATGGCCTCTCGACAAATCCCCACAGCGAGGATACAAGTAAGTAGCCGCGTTACAATGCGGCCGTAAACAGCGAACGCAAGAATTTTCGTTGTGAGATCACGTTGTGCAAGCACGTCGCAGGAATATCGCTACGCGATATTTCCTCGTTATTTAAAGGTGATTATTAAACGATGTCACGAGGCGAACTCGTCAAAGGGTTCGTCGAGGCGTAACTTTGTTTCAAGATCATTATCCGCCTTTCGAATCCTTCTCGTACTCCTCGAGACGAAATTCGATACACAAATTGTACACATTATTTCTTAACAATTATATGTTGTAATCATATATTAAGAATTATATATACGCGAATTAAAAGAAAGATCTTCAATTTTTAATGTGTATATTTTAATACGTATATTTGCAATGTTCTAGAGGAAATAATAATATTTGTTTTTTTATTTACTTTTACAATTGCTAAATTTATTTTGAAACTTTAAAAATCGTGATATATGAATGTATAAATTTTTTAATTTAAAAAGTTTGCAAATACGTTTCTTTCACCGAGTTGATATATCTAAGTGAATTTTGGTAAAATTTAGATAGCAATATTTTTTGCACAAAATAATTTATTTATATTAAACTTTAATAGAATGAAAACTTACGCCAAGTAAGTGCCCTTCGCAGCGGGCAGAAACTCGTCCCGATCCAGGCCACTCGAATCGTCCGAGAGATCGAAGCTGACGCTGAAAAACTCGCTGCTGGATACCTGAAAAATTGATTCCAACGTTTCGATACGTTGATTATTTCGAAGAGATTTATTTGCGACAATAGCATTGACATTGGCTATCGAATCAAGAGTTGAGGAATAATCGGGTTCGCAACTTCGGATTACGTTACACGAATTCGAAACGAGAATACTCGAGAACACTAGAAAGTTTGATGGAAAATTTGATAGCGACGCTTCAAAGAATCGAAGAAACTCTTCGACTTTATATAATGATTGTAATCGGGACGTGCCCTGCAAATTTGAATTTCTAATGAAAAGGAAGGAATTTTTTCTTCGTAGAATTTTTCGTAGAAAAATTCATAGAAAATTTTTCCACGAATTCTCGAAAATTTACTCGATAAAATTTCATGCATTAAATCGTCCAATAACTTTTCGTTCTTTTTAGATTAGAAGAATATTTACGTGTGACATTCAAACAGATTAATTCATACGAAAATCAATAAAGTAAAAAGTTGATTGAAGAAATACAAAATATGTATAAATACAATCACTTTTTATCTTTACATATATATATAGAGAGAGTGATTTTTCCTGTATAATATTTGATAAAGAACCAGGCTTGTTGGCAAAAAATAAAAGAATGTTCTGATATGTTATGCAACGTAAGCCTAGCGAAAATGCTGAGTTCTTATCCGAATAGAGGTTCATGCCTTCATGCTGACGATGACAGGTAATAAAATGAGAAGGAGTTTTCTCATTTATGGAAGCACATGGAAAATGGGTCGTGTTCATTTGCCATAATCTTTTTGCCATCACATTGTTCCACGATCTTTTGCGCGTCTTTCTTTTTCTTTTTCTTTTTCTTTTTTTTTTTTTTTTCTTTTTCGACAAGTTTCCAATTACGTTACTGAAAGTTTGGCACGATAAAGTCTTCAACGAGTTTTAGAGAACGTGACACGATACATTTACAATTTGTATATATACATTTCATAAAAAACTTTAAATAATGCGTATCTTTTATTTACACATATGAATATAAATCAAATGTGAAAAATTGAGAAAAATTGAGAAAAAAAATAAGGTACGATTAAGTTTATTTCCTTAAAGAAAAAAAAAAAAAAATTAAGTATAACTGCATTAGAGAATGCTGGATTATTTAAACTTTTAAGATTTTAAATAAAATTAAATGAAATTAATAATCGAATAAAAAAAGTACAAAAAAATTATTCTCGTGCTACATTCCATTAAAATTCTTCTATTTTCTTTCTCTCTAATTCTCAACTTTTATTTGGAGATTCTTAACTATCCACATGTTCGTGTTTCCACATACCAATTGTTAAAATAAACTCAACCACATTAACCCAAAACGTTGGCGATTATGCTTTTATACACGCAATAATCCCACGCTTAAAAGCATTCGGACGCATTACGATTTCTTTATACCTTTAATAGAAACCAAGAATCCTCCATTTGCACATTTATCGGTCCATCGCGAGCAATCTCAACTTGTTCGAAATTTTTATCATTGCCATGATGTTCTGTCGAAATGGTTTATACCATCGAGTTAAGTTCGCCAATTCGTCGAGTAGTTGCATTATTATTCCATGTTCAAATTATGCAAAACGATCTTCATATTCCTATCCCAATTAATTCATTGGCGAGAATAACGCCGGTGGAATCCAGTGGAATGTGATACGAATGATCAGACAAATCGAACAGAGTCGCAAATAGTTGACTAAGTGGAATAGCGCGAAAATGGTCGGACAAGTCGAGCGAGACCGCGAAGTCAATTTATTTAACGAAACTACCATTTACTACTACCTTGTATATATCACTTTTACTAAACTCTCGTTCCAACGAGAAAATAGCTTGAAAGCGTATGTAACGAAAAATAGGATAAAAAAAAAAAACTCTCGTTCAAGGTTTCGCCTTGTCCAACGATAAAAACTTTTTTTCTTTATTTCACTTTTAACCGAATTTCTAATTATACGAGTTTTCAAGAATTCTCGTAACAAGAAATTCCATTGAAAAGGAAGTTATACACGCATTTCGTGTAACGAAAAAAGATTACTTTTGTTCGACTTCATAGATTAACACTAAGATCATTAAAGGACAAGTTATAAACTGGTTTTTTAATGATAAATTAATATTAATTTTTACTAACATTGAGGCTCTTTCATCGTTTTAATCTTGAATACTGTTGAATTTTGCACGTGTTGATGAGTCTCGTCATAGTAATAAATAAATAAACTCGGTTAATACTCTATATGTAATTTTAATGTTAATATTTCGGGTCAGGATTTTAATCGTTGTTCGTCGAATTTTCTTGGCAAATAGGTTCATCAATATATCGTTAGAAAATTCGGCCTCCACCACGTCCTTGGACACGTTTGTAACTTACATTCGGCGAATCGATAATGGCGAACAGGCTTGCGGTCCGTTTGCATGTTATCGATTCGAGCTTGGCCAAGAAACCCATGAGGCTGGATTCTGCAATTCCATCGGTGTCCACGAAAATAAATACCTTATATACGTTCGTGATAATGCTACATAATTGTTATATCTGATTTTTTTGATTTTTCCTTTCAAAAAAATTTATTATTGTCCAACTTCGACGAGATAAAAACAGGACGATGATCTCTCTAATAATCGTAGGAAATCGTCCATCGATAAGTCGAACTGATTGTTTCGTTGCTTGAAATCGATCATCCCTCCCTCCTCCTTTCCTCTCCCCCTTTTTTTTGCCACTCCCTTTTCATTCCACTTTCAATCGGACATCTTTCTTTCCCTCGATATCTATTCGCCGTTCAACCGTTTATCGGTTTACCATTTTTTATCATTTAGCTAACCATTACAATGGCCAATTTCATCGATACAAACATCGATATACACATTGCATATTGATATATTTTCCATTACGGTGCACGGTGTTTTTCCTCATCCCGGAGAGAGACTGGGGCGGCAAAAAACAAAGGCAAATTAATCGTTCGTTGCTCGTTCCGTTGTTGTTAACGAAAACGGGGGAAAGAAAGAGAGAAAGAAATATTTTGTTGTTGGAATTTTGCGATCGTTAGAGCGAGCGACGTGTACGCTCTTTTATATCTCGGGTTAAAACGCAATTTCCTTTTTCTACAAACAATTCAGACTGTTTTACATAATTGGAAACAAGAATGGAGTTGTTCAACATGCGACTGTCTGTAATATCGATCCCTTTTTTCCCGAGTATATTAGCGAGAACGGAAACGACGACGTCGACCCGACGGGACCCAAGTGCTCCAATTCCCTATGAGTTTCCCCGATACTTCTCCCCTAGACTTAGTTATCATAAACGGACAGCGGCGGCGCTAGTGTTTGCATAATATCTCGCCACCCTTTTATTCGCTACTAAGGCCACTTTCTTTGATGAGATCTCGCGATACTTAATAACAAAGGAAGGGAAAGATCATCCGTGCTCTCGATAAACTGAATTTTCGTTGAATCAATTCCGCCGCGTGCTTTCAATTTCTTGATAAAACGTGAAAGGAAAAAAAAGAAAAAAGGAAAGATTGGATAAACAGATTGAAACGATTTTTAAAACAAACTTTAAAATCTTTTCTCGCTTCTTCCGTTATATTGGACTCGTTTAATATAATTATTCTTCGCTTCCAAGGATATTAATTAGATTATTATTATCATCATGATATTATGGATGTTTCGTTTAGATAATTAACGATATAAGCGGAAAAAATTTATGACAAGGACAAGTTTTGATATCAGATTGTTTCGTTTCTGTTCTTTCGCAAGGATATTACAAAAATTGCAACAAATTTGAAATCTTTTTTGAAATATAAATGTCTGTTTTCCATTTATTCCTTTCCTTTGACGGACGGAGTCAATTTCAAACGAATATTTCGATATTAATCCGATTTCTTGATTAAAGTTCTTGAAAATTAGACAGATATTTCATCCTCGTCGCAATTCACGTTTCATTTTTTCACATTCGACAATTAATTATTTACATCAAATCAAATATTTCTCCCCAGACAAAGAATCTCTTCACGAACGAAAATCCAAAATTTAATCAATCAAATATCCCTTCTCTCCCTCCCAAAATTCGAAGAAATGAAGTATCAAGTTTCGCAGAACATCGGTCAACTTTTAAGTCGAACGATGTTCAAACTAAACTCCCTCCAAGTCGAGTCGGGGGAGGGGGGAGGGGTCTAGTTTGTCGCCAATATCCTCAACCTTGGTCGGTTCAGAAAGGATTACAGGGAAAGAAGCTTCTGGGGACACGCCGGCCGAGTGGCAGGTGTTTGACGAGGATAGGCCGCTTAGCAATTCAAATGACAGGAGGGTGGCAGCTAGAGTCTGGCCTGCGTCGCGTTCGTTAACCGGCGATGGAAATGAGACGATAAAATGTCTGGGAAGGCGTTTCGTGCGTCGCGTAATGCCGACGATTACGAGCCATTTACGCTCCCGACGATTCTCGTTTCGGTGCTGGGTTGGAATTAATTTTCAACCGCCACCCTCTTATTCCTTAATTTTTCTCCCCCTCGCGTTACTCGAAGGGCAACCACCGCGTAATTTCATTCACCTCCGCCTGAGAACCGTCTTCTCCCGGCTTTCCATTTTCTCCCCATTCGTCCTTTGTGCTCGCAGCGAGACTCCTTCTTTTTTTTTCCTTTTTTTCTTTTTTTCGTCTCGTCCGTCCTTCGATTTTCGGGGCTCGTTTTCAATTTATCCCACCCTGATCTGAATTCTTTGGGCGTTATTGGGTGTACGGTTAATCGCGTGACTGGATGATAGTGAGAGTGGATTATTGTCAGATCGAATTTTTGGAAAATTACAATAGAATATTAGAATATATTATTATTAGTATCGTTATTAGTAGATTACTATATAGATTTTTTTTCTCTGGGCCTTTATGATTTCATTTTTCTAAAATAATGAACGAAGATTGTATGTATATTGATATTTTGTTATTTGTATCTTTTTGGAAATTCCATTCTATTTTTAACTTTCTATAATTTTCGAAATATTCAAGATGGTTTTTAAGAAACCTGAAAAATCGAATTTTTAATATTATTAATTAAAAAGTGAAATTAAAAAAAAAATCCGTGGATTTCTCAAATTTTAAGCATTATAATTGCACATGCAAAAAAGAACTTTTATAATTTAGTAAATAATATTTAATATTTAATATTGAATTAAAATAATAATATTGTTAGAATAATATTTGATAAAAAAATATTTGTAAATAGATTCTCCCGTGGTTTCATATTTTTGACGAATAAGAACAAATATTTGTGGAATTAAATAATTGTTATTAAATCGTAATTAAATATTTATGTTTTATGATCGATATTATTTCAATATTATATATTATTTGGACCAATGTAAATATAACGAAATGCAAATTCATTCATGAATATATATTGAATGTGTAAAATATAATATATATTTCAATAGAAATGAATACATTTTTCATTCGTAAAATTTAGTTTATCAATTTTGAACACCGTCATCGAAAAATTCTTAAAATTAATGTAATTTTATAATACATATTAAACGTATTAAATTAAACCTTTTTCTTTTGCCTCAATTTATCAAATGTAAATTGTCCAATGATTTAAATATTTATATATATTTAAATTATTTATTTATATTATAATATATTTAATTCCAACTTGTAATATCAAACATATCAAATTACTTCAAAATTATTTACTCGTTTTGTTTCAATTGTTTTATCAGGCATAATCAGTTTATTCGCAATTTAATTAAAATTTTTTTTAATCAAAGTTGTTTATAATACAAATTAGAATCTTATTGAGAAGGAATATAAATGTAGACTGAATTAATCATACTCATCATGCATGATACTTCATTTACAAATTCAATTCGTTCTCTCGCAAAGAGAACACATCCATCGTGTTTTCCTTATATTTCACAATTTTATGTTATCCTTTTATTACAATTATTGTATCCCATTAATAAAGTTCTCGATTTAAATAAAATAAAATATACTTACAGAAGTCGATAATGATCTCTGATATTTCGCTCTGGATAACAAGATCTTTCGTAATTGCATCTTATAAAGATGAAGTCGAAATCCAGCGGAAATATTGGCAAGAAATCGAAATCTTTGAGAGATCAAGGTGCTTTCGTTCTTCTCCTTTCACGCTCTACATTTCATCACCGATAAATCCTCAACAATAAAATATTCGAACTGTTTCTATTTAACGATTTGTTTCGCGGTTTTCATCGAACGATGAGATTTCTCTTATCGTCGTGAAAAAGAAAAAAAGAAAAAAAAGAAGAAGAAAAATTTTAAGCGATGCTATGTTCTTAAGCAGATAGATAAAAAAAGCGGCGTAACTATATCGGTTTCAAAACTCTTTAACAAGATCCTCTGATCTTCCCCGAACTTTCATTTGGCGAACTACTTTGGCTTGGTAAGTAGTAAATGTATTCTTACAGTCAGCCACCAAGATTAATTTCTTGATGTCTGGCATGTACAGAATTGTTTGCTGTTATTGATCGGCCCGAAAAACAACATCGTAAAGGTTACGTAAGCTTGGTAAAATTAGGCCACGTTTTAATTGTTACTTCACTTGCATCGAAACACATGCATTTCACGTTTTTTCCTGTTTATCCTATGTGCGTGATACAAATTTACGTTCGTATAAATCTTTGATTAATAAAAATATTCATTTGATGCAATATACGAACGTTATGTATTTTAATAACATAAATTCGTAGCATACTTTGTTTTTAATCCAAGGTTAATAGCTTTTTGTGTTTAAGGGGTAAATCCACGTCATTAAATATTTGTAACTTTCTATTGTGCAGATGTGGTATCTCCATATAATGTATTATGTATTGGATATATTATGTATAAGAGGTGTGCATGTTTTATGATCGTTAAGGGTAGATTGTTTGGTTCCTCGAATTCAAAACTTCAAATAAATATCAACGATACCTTAATTAAAAATCGATAAATATATATATATATATGTATATATAATATAGATTTTACAATGAAAGTGCAATTATGTATTTTTGATGATTACAAAATTTGATTTAAAATTTATACGCATTAAATAATAAATAACCGGTATAAATTGATTTTCCATAATCTCATTTTCTATTCTCTATGTTTCTTTTAAGTCGATAAAAATTTAAAAATTGAAATCAACTTTTATTTTATTAATTTATTCATCATTAAAATATTTTAAACTCGCCCAACTTGTGCAAAATAAAAGAGACATTAAAACTACGAAAATATTCGTGCATTTGGGATATAGAAAATTTGAATAAAAATTTACAAAGATGCAAATGAAATGTAGAAAGACAAGAGTATTTAAAACGGAGTATGTACGATAGTATTCAAAATTCTTTCTCTTTTATTTCAATTGCGCAGTTGAATTTGCATAAATATCCTCGTCGTACGGCATAACGAATACACATACATACATATATATTTAATCTGAAAGATGTACCAACCTGTGACCGAGACAGTTTGTGCCTGCGATTCTGACGCGACCCCTCGACAGAAGGCGCAGTGGGCGCAAGGAAACGAGGATTACTCTCCACATTTTGGGGGTGTTGCAACTGTTGAGGTTGATAATGGTGGTGAAGGTGATGGGATTGCTGTTGCGAGGGACCACCCCCCAGATGGTGCTCCCCCGTATCCAGCATCTTGCTGCCCAGAGCGTCCAGCTGGGTCAACGACCTCGAACGCACCTGAAACCCATTAATTCTTTCGGTTATTATTGGAAAAAACTTTCCGTTTTTATCCTACCCTCTTTCGACCATCCATTCTTATAAGCAACAATATATAATTGATTCGGTGCACCGAATACGAGAAAACGAGGATCACTTTTACTTTACTTTTGGGAGTAGCGTTTCTCATAATTCTCCTTTATTCCAAATGATTGAAATATCCCCAGTACTAATAATTAATCTCTCGTCAAGCAAAACATTAATCAATCTAAATCATTCGAAAAGATGGTTAAGTCTCAATCTCCTCGACGACTCTTAAAAATAATCATCTACAATATTCACGTTTTTTATCTTCCAATCTCTTAATATCTTAATATCTTTCACGGACAAATTGGATCACGGATGTTTCGTATCTCACATTGCGATTGCACAGTTTTCCCCTAGAGACTCTTCTACACTCGAGTCCATCGATTTATACAACTTTGCATTGTTAATCGCCCGCCATGTCACTTTCTAATTCCTCCTATCTCTCGTATGGAAAAAAAATCAACCGCTGTTGACCCGTTCAAGAATAACGAGGCAAAAGTGGAACGCGTAGGGAGCGTTCGAGTCGAGTTTGAAGTGGTATAGAGTTTGAGTATGGGTCGTGTGTGACCCTTGCGAACGGAAACAGGAAGAACGATATTCTTGTATATACATATATATACATATATATATGAGAAAACGAAAATTGGGTCGCGATCACGACGTGATGGAATGTCGTCGAGTGTTGTCGTACGAGTTAACAAGAGGCACGGCCAAGAGGAGATTGCATACAAATTGTTTTAAGTAATTAAAGGGTTTCGGCGAGAGATCCGGCGGCTTCGAAAAATAAATTCGAAACGCGGGGGAATTTTTCTGGTAACTGGGTCGCAATCGACCGGTTTTACGAGGTTATCGATCGTCCCTCTCGAGGGCCTTCGTTATCTCGATCCGGCCGAAAGCATTCTTCCTCTGGCCTTTATCTAACCCTTTCCTTTTTCTCTCTCTTTTTTTTTTTATTCGCTTATCCACTCGGCCCGCCTCGACTACACAGTCTTGACACCGATTTCTCCCGTTCCGATCGATCTGTTTCGCGAAAATTGGCTCACGGTTGGCTCCCTCCACCTGCACGAATCTTGAGCATCGTCCAAGAATAGTGTTCGAAAGGTGTAATCATCGAGATGGGTGTGCAATTTGAATTTGTGTCTTGTTTATGAGATGCAAGGAATTCTTTCCAACTTTCGAAAACGAAGGTTTTTCCCGATTTTAAGTTTTAGATAATAGATTTCTGACGGTGGAGCACAAGTGAGGACTGAAGTTGTTAATGATTTTGCTGCATAACAATCCGATATTGACCTCGTCTGGAACTGGAACCTATTAAGTGGCCTGTGCAGATATTTCGAAGCATCGAAACAAACGATAACGTTCATGCGTATGATCAATATTCGTGGAAACCAGTGATGATCATTTTGAAACGATACCCAAATACCCAATGGATCCAAGTAACAAAAATTCACTAATTAAAATTACATCTAAAAATATTAATCCATAATCGATATGTATTTCAACGCAATTAAATATATTAATTCGAACCTGAGTATCGATTTATGAAATCTCGCAATAAATATATCCGTACAAAGGAATCGATTTATTTTTAACAATAAAATTCGAATTATATTTATCCTTAAAATCGAATTCGAATCTATTGATAGGAATCGAGCGACGTAATACGAAGTCCATCGAGAGAGAAGAATTCGACGATACGATAGATTATGTCGAGGGGGTTAAAAGGAGAATGAAAAATGTCAAATAACAAAGGAGAGGAGGGAGAAATAAGGAAGGGAAATAGGGAAGGTTTCTCTATTAGGGAAAAACGAGTGGTGAAACGAGTTGCGGTTACTCACGAGGTGTTCACCCCTTGGAAACTGGAGTACATAAAACTTTGTTAAAATCGGTTGCGCCGATTTTTCAGAAGGGAGAAAAACGATCGCGTCAGATTTGCCGATAAATTAATCGAAGATAAAGGAGGCGGCACCGTTTTACTTACCATGCTTGCGCGCTTTCGTCATAAATCAAGCCGCGCATTTTTCAGCGGAGAAAAATTTTACGCTGTTCACTTTTTGCCATTTTCCATTCACACGTGTATTCGGAAAGAGTGGTACGCGCTGCGTAGCAAAATATATATGAATATTTTCGAGTAGAAAAATAATAAAAAAGAAAGAAAGAAAACGAGGAGATACTCCCTTTAATACTCTCCTGGATAACAACTTGATTTCGTCGTGTGCGATTCCAATAATTCTGTCTCCTATTTTTCAATTTTCAGGAAGAGAGGGGCGATGAATCCGAATCACCGTTGCACTTTGCCAATATATAACACGAATTGGGCCAAGATAATTTGAAAAGATGGGGGAGAAAACATCAGCTTCCAAACCTGTGTTCTCGATATCTATCTATTATTTCATCTTACGCGTGCAAATTAACGATATTCTGGGCTATTAATCGATCCTCGTTGAATGAATCGAAAGCTTTGCACGAAAAATTGTCTCTGATAAAGTTGTCGAAAGCGCGAAGCCTCTGAATTTTTCATACTGTATTAAAAAAAAAAGATAAAAGGAGTGGGGAAGAATACGTTTTGGCGGTAATAATCAGAATGCCTTGGGGATAGAGATATTTTTCAGAATAAAAAGAATAGAAAGAAACAAAGAATACTGTAACTACTGGTTCAGGAGACAGGCTAAATCTTTCATCTTTCATTTTATCCCGAAATGAAATATACAAAAACTTATCTAAACAGATAAACGTTTTGTTATGTGTCACTTCCTTTCAGATTATATTCCCCTAATACGAGGATGAAAAATTTTTCTTGCTAGGAATTGCTAATTTTAAATATCAAAAAAATAAAAAAAACTATGTAATTCGAGGAGAGAAATGTCTTTACAATTTATAAAGTTTTTTTTGTACAAAGAGGATATAAAACAAAACTGCAGTTAAGTTTCTTAATTTCAAAGGATTCGAGAATATCCAGAAGGGACTGTTTAATTATATCGCCTAGAATAATAAAAAACTTCGTTATCCGGAATATCACTTTTCTTTCTCCAATATTAAAAAAAAAGTGCCTCGGATAAAAGTTGAACGGTCTCGAGGGGGGAATATTTTGATATCATCTTCTTTTTTTTTTTTTAGTCCTTTTCAATTCACTACATTACTTTTTTAAAAATTCTATTTAAATTTAACGAATATGATATTGATATGGATAATCCTTAGATCGTAAAAATCTTCTTTACGATATTTATAGATACGATTATATATTTAAAGTTTTATCCTATATAGGATAAGTTATTATATAGGATCAATATATTTAATAAAATAATCCCGTGTATGGATTGGCGCGCACATATTCGCAAAGCGTTTTATAAAAGCACCAGTGGTAATTCAATATCGAACGAGTCCCTGAGTGAAAAATAAGGTACGCAGTTCTCGATGTCACCTATATATATATACATATACGATATTTGTGCACGATGGAATACACATCGAGAACTATTTTACACGAGCAGAAATATTGAAATAAGTCAATTTTTTTTACGGTTTTGTTTTAAATTTGTTTGTTTATTCTTTTTTTTTTTTTTTACATTTCTTTTAGTTTATTCCCATTTTTTACTTGTTTACAATATGGCTTCATCGATTCATATCTGTGGTCTCTTTTTGATTTCGTTTCATGTCTTTCATGCATACGAATTTGTATAAATAAATGGATTTACTTCAAATTATTGAAAAATGGACAGTGGATTCAAACTAAAAGTTTTGCATCAATAAATAATTCTATATATGAATATTTAATGAATATTTAACGACTGCGAACGAATAAATTGGATTTAAATTGGGCGAATTTTTTTTTTTTTTCTTGCAATTGACATTTCCACGCGAAATATTTTTCTCCAGAGTTTATTCGAGGCTAAAATAATATCCTGAAGCGTATATGTACGAAGCTTTTGTAAGCTTTTTTTTAATGAGTTCACATATGTTTCAAAGACAATATCATATTTATATATTTATTAATTCTTGGATCGATGTGTCACATATTTTTTTCACATACTTTTCTCTAACAAAAACCAAAATATTTTATTATTATAAATAAAAAACAAACTTCGAATGGAAAATATTTTAAATTTTCTAAAGAATGAAATCTTAAAGTTGATTCAATCGATAACAGAATAAACAAATGACACAAATTTTTCCCTCGTTACATTTCTTATGAAAAGAAAAGAGAGAGAGAAACAAAATTAGAAAAATCAAGTAGAAAAATTCATTAACGATAATTGCACGATGAAAAATTTAAAATAAAATAAAATTCTCACGGTGAAAGACTTCAAATATCGATAAAGCAAGTTCTAACATGAAGTCCGTCCGTTTACAAGATATATTTTTCACGTGTATCATTTTTTTTCGGATTGATATTCATCGAAACCGAATAAAAAAAAAAAAAAAAGAAAAAAAGGAAAACAGGAAACGAAATACGTGAGCGACTATTTTTTTTTTTTATAATAGATTACGCACCCATGTACATGAATTCCAACCTAGTTTCAACATACCGAGGTTTCATAGAGGAGGAGGAGAAAAAGGGCTCATTTTTCAAAAATATCATGAAACATTTTTGTTTTTTTACAAGAATTTCTCTATCGATTTCGTATCGTGCGTGTTGTTCGTCAATTTTTTCTTTTTTTTTTTTTATCACTGTCGTTACTCCTCTTTGTACTCGACACAATTTAGTTTTAGAAATCTATTATGATCTATTGTACGATGTGTAACGCATTGTCACAGACATTCGAAACATCGCTTGCGAAAATTTAATATCTGGAGAGACACCTATCGGAAAATAAAACGCATAAATCTTGTTTATATATCGGGAGAAACGGATAAAAAGAGAATGAATAAAGTAACTTCTGCTTTTCGAAGGAACATGCTCCCTTACCCCACTGTTTGAAATGCAACCAACGTTG